GAGCGGCGGGGGTTCACGTCGATGATCGGCTTGTGGCCCAGCAAGATGCAGTGCGCCCAGATCTCGATGGAATCATAGGCCGCGTCCATAAGGTCATAGAGGTTCTCGACCCGCCCGGCCGTCAGGGTCCCCAACGGAATCGCCACCTGGGAGTCATGCGTCGACGCAGACGTCATGATGCAGCTGATGGGGATCCCGCCATCGGCGGTATCGACGTGCAGCTTGTACCCGATCCAGGAGGTGGTATGGCCCTTGGCGTTGCGCTTGGTGCCGACATCGCAGGCCCTCGGCAGGTCCGCCAGCATCTGCGGAAGGCTCATCGTCAGTTGCCGTTCCAGCCGGCTCGGCTCCTTCGCCCGCGCCTCTCCCTTGCGTGGCCGCCCCCGCTTGCGCCGCTTCGGCTTCGCTGCCTTCGGCTTCGGCGCCGCCTTCTCCCGCGCCTCGATCGCCGTCGCATCCCGCGAGATGTGCTCGACAAGATGGCCATCCATCGTCCGCGCAATCAGCGTCTCATGCAGACGGCTGGCCAGACGGCTCTCGGCAAACTCGGAAAAGGCCCGCGAAAACGTCGCCTCGCTCGGAAGCCGGCCGGCACCGCTCCAGCCGCACAGCCGGCATAGCCTGCCGTCAACCTCAAGACGCTCGATCAGGCCGCGCGTCGTCGGAACGTCGAACACGGCCTTGGCTATGAAGGCGCGCGCCAGCGCCGCGCGGTCCTCCTCCGGCCGCCCTACCTGGCCGCGGAAGTAGGGCAGAAGAGCCTCGACCCGCACCAGTTCCAGAACCGCGACGAACAGCTCGTAGCGCTCGCCCATCGGGCCAAGCTCGCTCTCGAGCCTCGGGAACAACTCTTGTTGAAAGGCGTACCAGTAATCCGATAGCATCTCGCGCAGGGACACGGCTCCACTCCTCCGTGGGCATCATGCGGTGTTTGCTGACAGCACATGATACTCAGGAGGGTGGGCCGGTCCCACCGCAAGGGCCTTCACTCAGGCAGAAAAGCCGCTCGCCTCAGCTGTTTTGCAAGAGGCTCCCTCTCGTCGCGATCGGCACAACGGCGAGGCTCTCGCTACTTCTCCGCATGGCACATCCCACATCGATTCGCTACAGACTCTACCGCCCCCGCGTTGCCGCAACGGCTGACGTATAGAAGCGATTTCGTATACGGAATATCTAGGGATTGCGCTCGTCGCGCTAGCAAGTTATTCTTGCCATCTCGGTGGCCCGGTCATAATGACTGCCCGTGACCACAAACGGGCTAGAGTGACTGAATGGGACATGACTGAGGATGAACGCACTGATGCGGACCCGCCGCCGGCGAAGGTGACGAGAGCAGCAGGCGCGAGACGATCCACCATGCAGTTCCCATACAGCGACTGAACAACGCGATTGAGGTTGACCCGATGATCAATGACCGGCCGGCCTCGAATGCGAGGTCGCCCAGGCTTCGCCGCTTGGATGGCCAGAGCGCTACGGGTGGCACGTTCGCTCGCGCTATTCGGCGCGCGCATCTATTCGGCCTCATCGCGGACTGAACGAGGCGGCCGCGTCGGCTGACGGGCGAGGCTTGATGTGTTGGACGCGCAACGTCTGGGGGGCAAAACACTCAGGCATTTCTGCATGTGGCGCTCTCTTTCCGTCAGATATACGAGACCCAAAAGGGACATGCGTTGCCGCCGCCTCGGCGTTGCAGCGTATGATGAAGGACCTTGCGTGTGGCGCCCAACAAGTGGAGCGTGTCGCTCAACGTTCAGAAAGTCAGCTCCAGTGCGCAATTCATACGACCAGAAGACGGGAGTCTTCAGCGAGCCGGCATTAGGCCATCTACAGAGCTAACCCGTCGGACCCGCCTTCTCATGATGATCACATCCCCCGAAACGAGGCGGAGGCGGCGCCGGGGATGGCAATGGCGACCTGCCTCCTCATCTTGATCCATCATAGGGGTCTGAGCGACGACTGCCAGAAGCCGGGGATACATGGCCCTCGAACAGGCCGGGACCTTGGCTGGGCTCCTCAAGAGCGCGTGAGTGGTCTACAAGGATGAGGAGAGCCGGAGAGGGTGGACAACCACACGAGTCAACTGAATAATCGCTGGACGCTAAGCATAATGTCATATATTAGGGGCATGAACAAGCTGCCCCTGAAGACCCGCTCCCTGATCCTGAAGATGCTCTGCGAAGGGCAGTCCATGCGGGCGACCGCTCGGCTGGCCGATGTGAGCTACAACACCGTGGCCAAGCTGTTGGTCGATGCAGGCAAGGTCTGCGCCGATCTGCATGACGAGCTTGTGCAAGACGTGACCGCCCGCCGCATCCAGTGCGATGAGGTCTGGTCGTTCACGTACGCCAAGCAGAAGAACGTCGCGAGCGCCAAGGCGGCACCCGATGAGGCTGGCGACACGTGGACCTGGACCGCGCTGGACAGCGACTCCAAGCTGATCGTCTCATGGCTGGTGGGCGGGCGCGACGGCGAGTACGCGATTGCCTTCATGGACGACCTGCGCGCCCGGCTGGCGAACCGCGTCCAACTGACCACGGACGGCCATAGGGCGTACCTGGAGGCCGTTGAGGGCGCGTTCGGTGGCGATGTTGACTATGCGCAGTTGGTGAAGCTGTACGGCGAGCCCACGGGGCAGAAGGGCCACGAGCGTAAATACAGCCCTTCGGTATGCACCGGCACGAGGAAGCGCCGCGTAGAGGGCTCGCCCGATCCGGCCTACGTCTCGACCAGCCATGTCGAGCGCCAGAACCTCACGATGCGGATGCAAATGCGCCGCTTCACGCGGCTGACCAATGCGTTCTCAAGAAGTTCGAGAACCACATGCACATGGTTGCGCTCTACACCGTCTGGTACAACTTCATCCGCATCCACAAGTCCCTGCGCGTGACCCCGGCGATGGCGGCGGGTCTGAGCGAGACCGTGTGGGACATGGACGATCTGGTGCGGATCATGGACGAGTGCGCGCCGAAGCCGGGGCGGCCCAAGACCTACAACAAGCAGATTTCAAAATGACGCACTACCCCCAATCAGCTCGTCTCCGGCGGCGCGAACAGTTTCGGCTCGACCATCTGCGGGCCGCTCGTCAACAAGGGCAGACGTTGAAGGCAAATGCCCAAGCCCATGGACTGTTTCTCAGCGCGCTGTGCACCGCGCGCTCGACGCTCAACCGCCGGGGCGATCTCAGCGAGTCGACTGCGTCGGCTCCGACATTCGTGCCGATACATATTCCCGCCACCGTTGACACCCCGGGCAGACGTTCCGCCGCGCGGGCCTAAATTGGCAAATCGCCGGCAACAGGCCGTGGCCGCATAGCCTGCGGCCTTCGCCGGACGATTACCTCTTCTCCGCGCGCGGGACCTTGCTCATGTGCCCGCGACCCTTCGGGCGCGGGCGACTCAGGCCCGCGGGACTCTTTATGCCGCGCGCACGACCCCATATGCCGCGCGCGAGACCTTTCAGGCTCGCGCGACTCGGGCGCGGGCGACGGACCATGGTGCGGTGCACGGCGCGCTGCGTGCGCGCCAGGATGCGCGATGGGTCGATCATCTTCCCGCGCGCGTATCCGCGCGACGCAGTGCGAGAGCGAGCGGAGCACGACAGGTGCGATGGGCGGGGGCTCATCGGACGAGCCGCTGCCGGCGCAATCCAGGACGCCGTTGCCGCAGCGATCGAGGACGGCGCCACCATGGACGAGATCGTGGCGCGCGTCCGTTCGCGGGGCGGCGACGTTCGCTTTGATCCCGCGCGCACGACGCTGCGCGCGTGCGCGACCCGCCGAGGGCCGCTGGGCCGAGCGCATGGACGGCCTGATCTGCCTGCAGCGCGAGACCGATCGCTTTGCCGAGGAATGGGAGCGCACGCGCGAGCCCGGCGCCGAGGGGCGTAGCGCGCTCGTCGCGATCGAGACCCTGCGAACGCTGGCGCTCCGCACGATGGCCGACGCTCGGCCAGCGCGACGGAGCCGGTGCCGACGGAGGACCTCGGCCGCCTCGCGCTCGCGCTCCACCGCATCGAAAGCGCCGACAGGCTCCGCATCGAGCGCGAGCAGGCGGCGGCCGATGCCCGCCGCCGCGCACGCCGGGCGGCCGCGCGCGCGGCCAGTATGACGCATGCCGAACGGGTCGAACCGTCCGCCGGGCTCTCGAGGGGCACCTCTTCCCTGGGCGCACAGACCCGCCGCCGGCATTCGGGTGGGCCGCGCCTCTGCCGAGGACTCTCCCGTCACCCGCGGACCCACGCCCGATCGCCTTCCGCCGGCGGGGCGCCCATGTGTTGACGCGCGCGGGACGCGCGATACAGTGGGACGCGCACAGGGGCGGATGCAGACTGAGACGTCGGAGGCGGAGAGGCGGCTCTGGCCGACCGACCCTCCCTTCTGCCCCTCGGCGTGGAGCGGACCAGGGTGAGGCGTGGGGCTCCGCCTCCGCTGCAGCCGAACACGCGCGCCCGTCTCATCGTGCGGCCCGGATGTCTCGCCGCGGCCGCGGTCTGCGCGCGCGGCGCATGCCGTGCATACCGTGCATACGCGAACGGGGCGCGGCATGCGATGGCAGGAAAGCGGCCGCCTATTGCCGGGGCGGCTGCCGCCCGCAGTCCCCGCCGTGGTCATGGAGAACCGCCGGCGCCTGTCCCCGCGGAATCCCACTTAATCCCACTTAATCCCGGCGAATCCCGCTTCAAATTCATGTTCTGCGCGTGTCGCGGGCCGCCGACGATCACCATCACCCAGATCAGGAAGGTGAAGCGGAGCGGCTGGTAGCTGCCCGGCGTGAACTGCCCGTCGAGGGTGGTGAGCATCGCACCGGCGATTCCCATCACCGCTGCGCCCAGAACGAAGATCTGCATGTGGCGCCGGGTCTCCCTGACACACAACTCGTGACGTTGCCGGGGCCTCCGCTTCCATTCCGATAGGCGCGAGGCGCCGGTCTGCGCGTTGACGGGTGGCGGGGCAGGGACTATCTCTCAGGCCAAGCGGCGCATCAGGCGGATGACGCGATGGTGGACGTGCAGATCGAGCGGCCGACCACGACCGTCACGGACGACGCCGCGGCGCTTGCCGACCCGGGAGTCTCGCTCGAGCGCGGAGTCGCGGCGCTGCGCGAGGCGCTGAAGACCATGCCGGCGAGCGCGGGCGTCTACTGCATGCGCGACCGCCACGAAAAGCCGCTCTATGTGGGCAAGGCCAAGAGCCTGAAGAAGCGGGTCGCGACCTACGTCAACGTCCGCACGCTGCCCGTCCGCCTGCAACGCATGATCGCGGCCACGGTATCGGTCGAGGTGACCACGACGGAGGGCGAGTCGAGGCGCTCCTGCTCGAGAGCAACATGATCAAGCGGCTCAAGCCGCACTACAACATCCTGCTCCGAGACGACAAATCGTTCCCCTACATTCTGCTTCGCCGGGGCCATCGCTGGCCGCAGATCTCGAAGTACCGCGGCGCCAAGAGCGGGCAGGGCGACTACTTCGGCCCATTCGCGTCCGCCGGCGCCGTGGACCTCACGATAAACGCGCTCCAGCGCGCCTTCCCGCTGCGCTCGTGCTCGGATTCGGTCCTGGAGAGCCGCACCCGGCCCTGCCTGCAGCATCAGATCAAGCGCTGCACGGCGCCCTGCGTCGGCCGGATCGGCAAGGCCGACTACGACGTGCTGGTGGAGGAGGCGCGGGCCTTCCTTGCCGGGCGGAGCCGGCAGGTCCAGCGCCGCCTCACCGATCGCATGACAGCGGCGAGCGACGCGCTCGAATTCGAGACGGCCGCAGCCTATCGCGACCGCATCAAGGCGCTCGCCCATATCCAGATGCGCCAAGGCATCAACCTGCCGTCCATGGGCGATGCCGATGTGGTCGCCATCCACGACGAGGCGGGCCAGGCCTGCGTGCAGGTCTTCTTCTTCCGTTCGGGCCAGAACTACGGCAATCGGGCGTTCTTTCCGCGCCACGGGGCCGACGACACGCCCGAGGCGATCCTCCGCGCCTTCATTGGCCAGTTCTACAGTGGGCGGGAGGCGCCACCCCTCGTTCTGGTGAACCGCTCGTTGGAGGAGGCACCGCTGCTCGCCGAGGCGCTCACGCTCAAGGCGGGGCGGCGGGTCAAGCTCCATCGCCCCTTACGCGGCGCGAAGCGCAAGCTGCTGGAGGACGCCGAGCGCAACGCGCGGGAGGCGCTCGCACGCAGGCTCGGCGAGAGCACGGCGCAGCGGCGTTTGCTGGAGAGCCTGGCCCAGCGCTTCGAGTTGGAGGGCGCGCCGGACCGGGTCGAGGTCTACGACAACAGCCACATCTCGGGCACCGATGCGGTCGGCAGCATGATCGTCGCGGGGCCGGAAGGCTACATCAAGAGCGCCTATCGCAAGTTCACGATCCGCTCGACGGCGGCATGTGACCCGGCCACGCCAGGCGACGACTACGCCATGATGCGGGAAGTGCTGACCCGGCGCTTTTCCCGCCTTATCAAGGAAGACCCCGGGCGTTCCGGCGAGTCGTGGCCGGACCTGGTGCTGATCGATGGCGGCGCCGGTCAGCTTGGCGAGGCGCGCCGGGTGTTCGCCGATCTCGGCATCGCCGATCTCGCGGTTGCGGCGATCGCCAAGGGGCCGGAACGCAACGCCGGCCGCGAGCGCGTCTTCCTGCCCGACCGGCCGCCGGTCGCTCTCGGCGCGCGCGACCCGCTGCTCTACTTCCTGCAGCGCCTGCGGGACGAGGCGCATCGGTTTGCTATCGGCACCCACCGGGCCAAGCGGGCCAAGGCGCGGGTACGCTCGGCGCTGGACGAGATTCCGGGCGTCGGCCCCCGGCGCAAGAAGGCGCTGCTCCACCGCTTCGGCTCGGCGCGGGGGGTGAGCCAGGCGGGACTCGCCGATCTCGAGACCGTCGACGGCATATCGAGCGCGGTCGCGCGCGCGATCCATGACCATTTCCGTGCCGATCGCTGACGGCTCCGAGGCCCGGAAGCCTGTGACAGAGGACGACCCGCTGCGCGTGGCGAGCTGGCCCACGCCGTCACGGGGCTTCGCATCGTCATGGTTCCCGTCCTCGTCGGCGCATTCTTCATCGACGGCCTGATCGGGCTTTGGCTGGGGTTTGCGGTCTTCGCGGCGGCGGCCCTCAGCGATTTTTCTGGACGGCTGGCTGGCGCGGAGGCTCGATCAGCACTCGCTGCTGGGGCGGATCCTCGATCCCATCGCCGACAAGCTCCTGGTCGCTGCGGCGCTGGTCATGCTGGCCAGCGACGACAGGGCGCCGGTGATCGCCGTGGTGGCGATCCTCGGCCGCGAATTCCTGATCTTCGGGGCTCAGGGAGGCTCTGGCCGGCACCGTGGCGCTCCCGGTCCAGCCCCTCGCCAAGTGGAAGACTGCCGCCCAGATGGGCGCCATCGCCCTGCTGCTGCTCGCCCCCGCTATCGCATCGTCGCTGCCTGGAGCCGCCGCGGACGGACTCGCCACCGCCGGCGAGGGGCTGCTATGGCTTCGCGGTGGTGCTGACCTGGGGCAGCGCAATCGGCTATGTTCGGGACGCCGTGCGTGGCCTTCGCGCTGCACGGTCGCGTGAGGAGGAATAGGTGCAACGCTTCGGGGTCACGGGATTGAGCGACAGCGGCAAGACCACGCTGGTCTGCCGGCTGCTGCCGCGGCTACGCGAGCGTGGCTTGCGCGTGGCGACCGTGAAGCATGCGCACCATGGCTTCGACCTGCTGCCCGAGGGGCATCCGGCCCACGCGTGGCGTGCCGCCGGCGCCCGCGACATCGTGCTGGCGGCGCCCGACCGCATCGCCCATCTCTGCGAGACGGGCGATGACGGCGAGCCGCCGCTGGATCGGCTGCTTGAGCGCGTAGAAGCCCGCCGACCTCGTGTTGATCGAGGGATACAAGCGCGGCGGCCACGACAAGATCGAGGTGCGGCGAGGCGCGCGCGAGGGGCCGCTCCTCGCTGCATCGGACCCGACCGTCGTCGCCATCGCCAGCGACCGGCCGGTGCCGGAGGCGGCCTCGCTCCAGCGAGCGGTGCCGGTATTCGAAATCGACGACGTGGCGGCGATTGCGTCGTTCGTGGTGACGCATTGCGCCGCTGCCGACAACGGGGACTCGGTGTCGATCCATGGCACAGCTTAGCGACGACTGCTTCGCCTTCGGCGGCGCGCTGACCCCGGCGGCGGAAGCGCTGGCCCAGCTTGAGAGCGTCGTCCATCCCATTGCCGAGACCGAGACGGTCGACCTGCGCGCGGCGAACGGGCGCATCCTGGCGGAGACCGTGATCTCGGAACGCGCCGTGCCGCCGCACGACAATGCCGCCGTCGACGGCTATGCGGTCTTCTTCGACGACCTCGATGCCGCAGGGGACACGCGGTTGCCCTGCACCGGGCGGGCTGCCGCCGGGCACCCGCTCGGGCGCCCGGCCGTGCGCGGCGAGGCGATTCGCGTCTTCACCGGCGCGCCGATGCCGCCCGGCCCCGACACCGTGCTCATGCAGGAGGACTGCCGCGTAGATGGCGACGCCGTCATCGTACCGCCCGGGATCAAGCGCGGCGCCAACCGGCGGAATGCCGGAGAGGATATCGCGCCCGGCACGACCATCCTGACCGCCGGCCGGGCTCTCAGGCCCCAGGACATCGGCGTCGCTGCTTCCGTCGGACGCACCGGGCTCGCGGTCTTCCGTCGGCTGCGGGTGGCGATATTCTCCACAGGCGACGAGGTCTATGAGCCGGGCGCGGCGCTCGGCGAGGGCGGCATCTACGATTCCAACCGCTACGTCATCGCCGGCCTCGCGGAGCGGCTCGGCTGCGCCGTCACCGACATGGGCATCCTGCCCGATTCGCTGGGCGTGATTACCGACGCCCTGGCTGCGCGAAGCCACGATCACGACCTTCTGCTCACCTCCGGCGGGATGTCGACCGGCGACGAGGATCACGTCAAGGCCGCGGTGGAGGCTCTCGGCCATCTTCACTTCTGGCGCCTCGCCATTCGGCCGGGGCGGCCGATCGCCCTCGGCCAGGTCGGCCGCGTGCCCTTCATCGGGCTTCCCGGCAACCCGGTTGCCGTCATGGTCACGTTCCTGCGCTTCGCGCGCCCGTTGATCCTGCGTCTCGGCGGCTGCACCGAGGTGGAGCCTGCGCACTATCGGGTGGCGGCGGGTTTCGACTACCGGAAGAAGAAGGGGCGGCGCGAATGGCTGCGCGCCCGTCTGTCCACACGGCCGGACGGCACCCTCGGGGCGGAAAAATTCGCCCGTGACGGTGCCGGATTCTCACGTCGGCGGTCTTCGCCGACGGCCTGATCGAGCTGCCGGAAGACCTCACCACGCTCAGCGCGGGCACGATGGTCGACTTTCTTCCGTTCAACGAGATGTACCGATGACGCTGCTCTATTTCGCCTGGGTCAGGGAGCAGATCGGCCGCGATGCCGAGGAGATCGCGCTTCCTGCCGACGTGCAGACGGTGGCGGCGCTGCTCGACTGGCTGCGGAGCCGCGGCGGTGGCTATGCCAGCGCGCTCGAAGACCTGTCGGTGATCCGGGTCGCGGTGAATCAGGAATTCGCGGCACCCGACCATGCGGTCGCCGATGGCGACGAAATCGCGCTCTTCCCGCCGGTGACCGGTGGAGCCCCGTCGTGATTCGCGTCCAGCGCGAGGACTTCGATATCGGTGCCGAGATCGAGGCGCTCACGGGCGACAACAACGAGATCGGTGCCGTCGCGTCGTTCGTCGGCATCACCCGTGCCGACGCGGGCGCCGGCCCGGCGACCACGGCAATGACGCTGGAACACTACCCGGCGATGACCGAGAAACAGCTCGCGGACATCGAGGCCGAGGCGTGTCAGCGCTGGGACCTGACCGCCTCGCTGATCATCCACCGCTACGGACGGCTCGAGCCCGGCGATCGGATCGTGTTGGTGGTGACCGCGGCGTCTCACCGCCGCGCCGCGCTCGATGCCTGCGCCTTCCTCATCGACTGGCTCAAGACCAAGGCGCCGTTCTGGAAGCGCGAGGAAACCGCCGACGGCCCGCGCTGGGTCGCTGCGCGGGCCGCTGACGACCAAGCCGCCTCGCGCTGGCGCGGCGCGTCGTGACTGCGCCGCTGCAGCTGCCCCAATTCGCACACCCCCTCGCGAGACGGACAACACTCTCGTATGCCGGGCGATGAGCGCATTCTCGTCATCAAGCACGGCGCGCTCGGCGATTGGGTTCTTGCCACCGGGTGTTTCTCGGCGATCCGCCGTCATCACCCGTCCGCGCGCATCACGCTGCTGACGACGCCGGCATTCGCGGACTGGGGCGCGCGCTGCCCATGGTTCGACGAGGTATGGACGGACGAACGCCCGAGTCTGCTTGCCAAGCCGCTCGCGTGGGCCAAGCTGCGCCGACGCCTGATCGACGCGGAGTTCGCGCGCGTCTACGACCTCCAGACCTCAGGCCGCACCGGGTTCTACTATCGGATGCTGCCGCGTCGCTGCCGTCCGGAATGGTCGGGAGAAGTCGCCGGTTGCTCTCATCCGCACCGCAATCCTCAGTGGGCGTCCAGGCATACGGTCGCGGTTCGGGCCGAGCAGCTCGGCATCGCGGGATCGGCGACGTGCCGCCGCCGACTCTCGATTGGCTGGACGCCGATGTGGGGGAGCTGGCACTGCCCGACGCGTTTTCGCTGATCGTCCCGGGAGGATCGGCGCATCGCACTGAGAAGCGCTGGCCGGCGGAGCAATTCGCCGATCTCGCCAGACGCCTGTCGGAGCGCGGTAGTCCGCCGGTCCTGATCGGCACGGCTGCCGAGGCGCCGGTCCTGGCCAGCATTTCGCGCGAGGTGCCGGGCGCGATCAATCTCGGCGGGCGCACCAGCCTCGGCCAAATCGCCGCCCTGGCGCGGCGCGCGACATGCGCCGTGGGCAACGATACGGGACCCATTCACATCGCGGCCACGGTCGGCTGCCCGACCGTCGCGCTGTTCGGGGCTGCCTCCGACCCCAAGCGGAGCGCGCCGTGCGGACAAGCCGTTACGACTCTGCGTCGCGTGCCGCTCGCGAGCCTTGCAGTCGATGACGTCATCGACGCCACTCAACGAATATCTAATGGCGCCTGACAGCGCCCTGCGACTGCCATGCCCGCTTCGTCTGAAAAGCCCCGGCGGGGAGACCGCAGTGACACGGACCTTGAACAGGCCAAGGGCGCTTCTGACAGCGATATTCTGCGCGTTCGCCGCGCTTCTGCCGATCGTCAGCGTGATTGCGCCCAAGGGCACAGTGGTGCTCCTGCTGTTGGCGGCGGCCCTCGCCGTCCCGACCCTACTGGTGGGTGCACCGGCGTTTTCCGATTCCCGATTTACGTATTTCGATCGCTCTCGTCCTCCTGGTCGTGTGGTGCGCCATCGCCTCGGCTTGGAGCGACGACCCGACGCGATCTCTCGTGCTCGCCCTTCGCATCGCAGTGATCTTTCGCGGCCGGTATGGTCTTGTTCCCTATCGTGGCTACCTTGGATGACGCGGCGAAAAATCGCATTGGCCTGTGGCTCGTCGCCGGGTTCGGTCTGAGCCTAGCCCTCATGGTAGTGGAATTCGGGCTCGACTATCCGCTGCTTCGCTCCTTCAAGGAGGGGGGCGCCGGGAACGAAGCGGTCTGGTTCAATCGCGGCGCCGTGGCGATGGCACTGATCGTCTGGCCGTTGGCGGCCTACCTCTGGGCCAGAGGCCTTGGCTGGAAGGCGCTGATCATCCCTGTTCTGCTGGGGATCGCTTCGTTTTTTCTGGAAAGCGCGGCGGCAACGCTGGGTTTTGTCGCAGGCGTCGTCACCGTGCTGTTGGTTCTCAGTCATCGCAAGGCGGGACTCGTGGTCACGATTGCCGCAAGCGTCTTGGTCTTCATCGGCATGCCGTTCGCGGCGCGGGAAATGCACAGTCACGGATGGCACGGGCCGACTGGCTGGTAGCATCGGCCCAGCACCGCGTTGAAATATGGGACTTTTCTGTTCAACGGATTGCCGAGAAGCCGTTGCTGGGATGGGGATTCGACGGATCGCGCCATATCGGCGCGCTGTACCCGGATGCCAGCGACACAGGTCGCGCGTTCATGGCGTTGCACCCGCATAGCGCACCCCTGCAGATCATGCTCGAGCTCGGCGCAGTCGGGGCCGTCCTTGCTCTCGCCCTGTTGGGCTGGGTGGCAGTGCGCCTCGACACCATGCCAGGCCGAGCGCGCGCACTTGCCCAAGCCCTTTTCATCTCTGCCCTGGCCATTGGATGCGTGGCCTTCGGTGTCTGGCAAAATTGGTGGCTCGCTCTGATCGTCTCGGTTGCCCTTCTGGTCCCGCTCACGGCTGCGCCGGCCGCACGCGAAGACGGAAACGCGCGGCGCTAGGACGATGCGTATTGCCCAGATCATGCTGGCGCGCCGCCTGGGCGGAGGGGAGCAGGTCTTCATCGACCTGTGCGGGGCGGCCGCATCGCGCGGGCATGAGGTTCTCGCCATCGGTGCGGCGGAAAGCGATGCCATGGACGCCCTCGATCGGCGCTCGGACCTCCAGTGCGCGCGCGTGCGCTGCCACGGCACGTGGGATCCGCTATGCCGGTGGGCGATCGGTCGCTTGCTGCGGCGATTCGAGCCGGACGTGGTGCAGACCCACATGGGCCGCGCCAGTGCGCTTGGCGGCAAGGCCGCACGGTCCGCCGGCTATCCGACACTGGCCATGCTGCACACGATGATCGAGTTGAAATACTACCGCACCATCGACCTGTTCGTGCCGACAACGGCGGATCAGGAGGCTTATCTGCGTAAGAACGGCGTGCCGGCCGATCGCGTCGAGCGCATTCCCCATTTCCGTTCGATGGAGCCGGTTGCAATCGCCAAGGCGCCGCGACAAACGGACGGCGTGGTCAAGACCCTCGGCCGGTTCGTTCACAAGAAGGGGTTCGATGTTCTGCTGCATGCGGCTGCGCACGCGGCCGCGCAGGGTGCGACGTTCAGGCTGGAGATCGGCGGCGACGGACCCGAACGCAGCTCGCTGAAGGCGCTGGCCGCGCGGCTCGGGATCGGGGATCGCGTGACGTTTTGCGGTTGGATCGATGACGTTGCGGCGTTCCTCGCCGATGCCGATCTGTTCGTGCTGCCGTCGAGGATCGAACCGTTCGGCATTGTGGTCTGGAGGCGATGGCCTGCGGTGTTCCCATTGTCGCCACGCGCGTCAGCGGCCCGCTGGAAACTCTCGATGAGCACACCGCTCTCCTGGTTCCGTCCGACGATCCGGCGGCACTGGCGGAGGCTATGATGGCGGTGTTCGATGCGCCCGACGCGGCAGGGGCCCGCGCCCACGCGGCGCTCGCTTCGTTCAAGGCGAACTACGCCGAGTCGGCCGTTATGGATCGATACCTGGCTGCCTGCAGACGTCTCGCGGAGTCCAGCGAAGCGGCCAAGAAGGCCTAATCCCGCGCGCGCACCGCCGCCGCGTAGTCCGCCATCAGGGTGCGGGTGATCGGCCCACCTGGAAATTGTGATCGTCGATCGCGCCGACGGGCGTCACCTCGGCGGCGGTGCCGGTCAGGAAAATCTCGTCGCTCTTCGCAATCTCGTCGGGCATGACGGCGCGCTCTACGACCTCGTAACCGCGCTTTTCGGCGAGCTCGATGACCGTGCGCCGGGTGATGCCGTCGAGGAAACTATCCGGCGTCGGCGTGTGAATGAGCGCCATCCTGGACGAGGAAGATATTGGCGCCGGTCGCTCGAGACCCGCCCGCGCCAGTCGAGCATCAGTGCATCGTGGCAGCCTTCAGCTTCCGCCTCGTGCTTGCTGAGGGTACAGATCATGTAGAGCCCGGCGCATTTCGCCTTCACCGGCGCGGTATCCGGCGCCGGCCGGCGCCAGCGCGCGGTCTTGAGCTTGATGCCCCGCGTTATCGCATCCTCGCCGAAATACGCCGGCCACGCCCAGGTCGCGATCGCCACGTGGATCGTGTTGTGCTGCGCCGAGACGACCCATCATCTCGGCACCGCGCCAGGCCACCGGACGCACATAGCCATCGCCGATGCCAAGCTTCTCCACCACAAGCTTGGAGGCTTCGACCAGCGCCTCGCAGGTATAGGGGATCTCGAATCCCAGCGCGCTGGCGGATTCCAGAAGGCGTTGGGTGTGCTCCTCGACCTTGAAGATACGGCCGTCGTACACCCGCTCGCCCTCGAACACGCAGCTCGCGTAGGTGCAGGCCGTGGCTCAGGACGTGCAGCTTCGCGTCGCGCCACGGTACGAGCGCGCCATCGAACCAGATGACTCCGTCGCGATCGTCGTAGGGGATAAGGTCGGCCATGGCGCTCACTGATGGTCGGCGGGTGGGAAGAAACTGGTTGCGCTGCCTAGCATCGGCCTGCATATAAGTCAACGTGACTGACGTAAAGGCTGGGCCGAATCCGCTTTACCTACGCGAGGATCAGCTTCACGAGGCGATGGAGCTGCTCTTTTTCGCGTATCGGGACTTTACGACCGAGTGCGATGCGATCCTGGCGTCCTACGGCTTCGGGCGCGCGCATCACCGGGTCGTCTATTTTGTCGGCCGCAACCCGGATATCTCGGTTACCGCGTTGCTGGAGATTCTGAGGATCACCAAGCAGAGTCTGTCCCGGGTGCTCGGCCCGCTGGTGCGGGAGGGGTTCGTGACGACCCGGCAAGACCCTGCCGACGGGCGTCGCCGATTGCTGACGCTTACCGCAAAGGGGCGTAGCCTGGAGGGTCGGCTCTCCGCGACCCAGCGGGCCCGTATCGCCAAGGCCTATCGCAGCGCCGGCGGTGTCGCTGTGGAAGGATATCGGGAGGTCTTGATGGGAATCATCGACGAGGCAGACCGGCGCCGCTTCGAACGACCCTGAGGGCGGGGTGTCGAATCGGCCCAGCCGGCGGGGCGATGCGTCGATGAACGGCGAGAGCGCGGCTGCGGGCACCACCCGGCGCGAGGCGCCTCCGGCCGAGGCAGCGCATGTTCTGGTGGTGGACGACGACGACCGCCTGCGCACGCTGCTCGGCCGCTATCTGCGAGACAACGGTTATCACGTCTCCTCCGCTAGCTCGGCCGCCGACGCGCGGGCCAAGCTCGACGGCATGGCCTTCGATCTGATCGTGCTCGACGTCATGATGCCGGGTGAATCGGGCATCGACTTCACGCGCGGGCTACGCCGCTCGACCACGGTTCCGATCCTGCTGCTCACGGCCATGGGAGAGCCGGAGGACCGCATCGCGGGGTTGGAGAGCGGGGCTGACGATTACTTGACCAAGCCCTTTGAGCCGCGCGAGCTGCTTCTGCGCGTCGCGACCATTCTGCGACGTACCGCCCCGCCGCCCTCTGCGCTGCCTGCGACGTGCATCAAGATCGGCGAGTTCCGCTATTTTCCAGCGCGGGATCAGCTCCTGCGCGGCGACGAGGCGGTCCGGCTGACGACGGCCGAGGCCGACCTCCTCCGTGTCTTTGCCGCCAATCCGGGAGAGACGTTGAGCCGGCATGCGCTCAGCCAACGGCTCGACGGAAGCCCCTCGCGGCGCGCCATCGACGTGCAGATCGCCCGGTTGAGACGCAAGATTGAGCCGGAACCCCAAAATCCCCGTTATCTTCAGACCGTCTGGGGCCGGGGCTATGTTCTGCGGGCCGATTGAGCCGCCCCGTCTGCTCCGCGAGGGCGCGTCGTGAGTCTGTTGAGACGTGTCGCACCGCGCGGCCTGTTCTGGCGCTCCTTCCTGATCATGTTGATCCCGCTCGTTCTGGTTCAAGCGACGGTCGCCTACATATTCTTCGAGCGTCACTGGGATACGGTCAGTCGCCAGTTGGCGATGGACGTCACCGGCGACGTCGTCACCATCATGCGCATGGCCGACGATGCATCGGGGCCCGAAGAGCGCGCGGGTATCGATCGAATCGCCCGCAGGGAGATGCAGTTCGGCGTTGTCTTCGAGGCTGGCACGGTTTTGCCCGACGGCTCTCCCAATCGGTTCGACCGCACCATCGACGCGACGCTACACCGGCAGCTCGAGAAGCGCCTCACTGTCCCCTACCATCTCAACACGCAATTGCCCGACAAGCGGATGACAATTCGCGTCCAGCGACCGGACGGCGTGCTGACCCTGGAGACGACGGTCAAGCGCATGCGGGAGTCGACCACGGTTCTGGTCATTCTGTGGATGGTGGGCACGGCGATCGTGGTCTCGGCGATTGCGGTCCTTTTTCTGCGCAACCAGATACGCCCGATCCGGCGACTGGCGGCGGCTGCCGACGCGCTGGGCAAGGGCAGGCCGGTGACCGACCTCAATCCCTCGGGCGCGACGGAGATCCGGCGCGCGGGCGCGGCGTTCCTGGAGATGCAGGGGCGGATCCAGCGTCAGATCGCCCAGCGCACCGAGATGCTGGCCGGGGTCTCTCACGATCTGAGGACACCGCTCACCCGAGTGAGATTGCAGCTCGCCATGCTGGCCGATGCGCACCCCGGCTCGCGTCAAGAGATTACCGAATCCGAGCAAGACCTGCTGCTCATGGAGCACATGATCGACGAATACATGGCCTTCGCCCGCGGTCAGGGCGGGGAGGCGCCGGTCAGCACCGATCTCGCCGAAATCATCGACGATGTCGCGGGCGATGCGCGCCGCAGGGGCAGCCCCATCGTGCTCGAGGTCGAGCGGCCGTTGATCCTGGCTCTCCGGCCGAATGCCATCCGCCGCTGCCTGACCAATCTGGTCGAGAATGCCATGCACCACGGCGCACGGGTCGCGATCAGCGCCACTCGCCGGGATGACGTCGTCTCGGTCGCGGTCGAGGATGACGGACCGGGCATCCCTGTGGACCAGCGCGAAGACGTGTTCAAGCCGTTCTTCAGGCTGGATAGCGCCCGCAATCCGCGCACTGGCGGGGCCGGTCTCGGCCTCTCGATCGCACGCGACGTCGCCCGCGGGCACGGCGGCGATATCCGCATGAGCGCCGGCTCGCTCGGCGGCCTCCGCGCCGAACTTCGACTGCCGGTTTAAACTCCCTCGGCGGATACTGTGCCGGACCCTATCCGGCTTCCTCTGCGGGCTGGGTATCGCGCCAGCCGCGCCTCGGCGCGAAACGGCAGAGGGAGCGCGTGAGCCTGTCGAGGCGCCTCAGCCGCCTGTCGAGCACGGCCATGGTGCGCGCCATGTCTTCGCTGTCGTCGCGGAGCCAGACCGGAAGCATGGAGAGGTAAAGCGCCGACAGCGCCTTGACCCGAAGCCCGCCTCGCAGGCCTGCGCTGCTTAAGTCGGCAGCTTCCAGCATCCAGCGCATCGAGCGTCGCAGCACGAGCGGCCCGCACAGGATCGCCTCCGGGGTCCGACGGGCAGCTCCGCATGATCGCGCCGACGCCCTCCTTGTGGGCGTTAAGCAGATCGAAGCGCTTCATGAGGACATCGAACAGGCGCTCGGTGGCCGGGCGTCCGGCCACCTCAGGGTCCCGCGCCGCCAGCACCTCGCGGTCTATGGCCGCGGCATAGGCCGCGACGATGGCGCTCTTGGAAGAGAACTCCGCGCGCAGCTCGGCGAGGGAGACCTCCGCCGCCTCGGCGATGTCGCCCAACCCGACCCGCGCCCAGCCGCGGCTCGCGGCCAGTGTCAGGGCACTCTCGATGATGGCCTGGGGCACGTCTTTGCGTTTGCCGGCCCCCGGTGCAGTTTTCCTCGGCATGGTCCTGCGCCTCTTCGCCGCCGCCAGTCCCCGAAGTGTAGGCCGCGGGAAAACCGAGCGTCAACGCGGCCGGCGTCGGTGTCTCAGCCGCGGGTGCGGCTAGACGGGGCGAGGGCGCGGGAGCGCTCGGCGGCGGCGCGAACCGCGCGGCTCATCAGTGGGGCGAGCCCGTCCGTCGCCATCAGGACCGAGAGCGCGGCTTCGGTCGTGCCGCCCGGGCTGGTCACGTTGCGGCGGAGCGTGGCGGCGTCCTCTTCGGATTGGGCCAGCAGCGCGCCTGCGCCGCTCACCGTGCGGTCGGCCAGCGTGCGGGCCAGGTCGGCGGGCAGTCCGGCATCGACGGCGGCTTCGGCCAGGCATTCGGCGAGCAGAAAGACGTAAGCCGGGCCGCTGCCGGAGACGGCCGTCACCGCGTCCATGAGGGCCTCGTCGTCGATCCAGGCGACCGCGCCCACCGCCCGCAACAGCGCCTCGCAGAGCGCTTGCTGATCGCGGTTGGCGGCCCGGTTGGCCCAGGCGACGGTCATGCCCTCGCCGATGGCGGCGGGCGTGTTGGGCATGGCGCGGACGATCGGCACAGCACCCAGATCGCGCTCCAGCAAGCGTACGGGCCAGCCGGCGGCGATCGAGAGGTGCACGGTGTCCGGTCCCCCGATGTCGGCATAAGGGGGCACGACCTCGGCCATCACCTGTGGCTTGACGGCGTAGACGATCGCCGCCGGGCGCAGCGTGCCGGGAAGCGCGGCGGGCGCCGGAACGCATGTCGCGCCGAGCGGCGCCAGACGCTGAGCCGTGCCGTCGTCCGGCTCGACGATGGCGAGCTGCGCGGCTTCGAGCGGCCCGCGCAGCCACCCTGCTGCAAGAGCGCTGCCCATCCTGCCGCCGCCGACCAGGAGGATATCGCCGGAAATCGCCGTCATCAGGCTGACCCGCGCGGCTCCATCAGGGCCGCTTCGAACGCATTTTCGGGCGCAAGCTCCGCCCCGACCACTTGCTCAAATGCCGGATAGAAGCGCTCGCACTCGCCGACCCCGACCGTCACGAGATCGACGATCTGAGGGTCCTCCACGCCGTCTGTGCCGCGCAACAGCAGCGCGTGGCGCCACGTCGGCCGGCCTTCCTCGGCCCAGAGATCGAAATGGCCGATCCACAGGCTCTCGTTGATCAGGTTGACCAGGGCGCCGACCGCCCGGCGCCGAGTCGTCCGGGACGCGCATGTCGAATCCGCTGGCAAAATGCAGGACGTCGAGATCGGCACGGTAGGCGAACCAGAGCTCATAGTCGCACCAGCCGCCGGCGAACGAGCCCGTGATGTCCTCGTCGCCCATGCGTTCGAACGAGAGACGGCTGGCCATCATGACCCGCTCGACGGCGTCGAGCGCATCGCTCGCCAGGCGCTCGGAATGTACAAGTGTCAACGCCATCCCAACTCCCCACCGCTGCGGCGCCATATGCGGTATCCCACCGGATCCACCAGATATGGCGCCAACCACAATAGGCTGTGTTGGAGCGAGAGAAAATCCCAAAATGTTGAAAATCGCGTGCAATAGCGCGGAGGATTGGATTGCCAGAAGCGCTATGTCGGAAGCTGCGGCGGGGCGCCGCCGGGGAGGGGAATGCGAGTGCTCGTTCAGCGTCATCGCGATCATCGCGTAGTAGCCGTTGAGCGCCGTGAGCTCCACCACGCCGGCGGGGCCCGAGCAGCGCCAGCGCCTTGTCGTAGGTCTCGTCGCTCACCGCGCGGTTGGTCTGCAGCTCGCAGCTGAAATCGTAGACCGTCGCCTCGTCCTCTGCCGAGAGCGGCGGCGGCCGCCGGTGCTTGATCGCTTCGATCACCGTGTCGGGCAGGCCCGCCTGCGCGGCCTCCGGCGCGTGCCAGTGCCATTCGTACTGGCACGACCAGTGGCGGGCGATCGCCAGGATCGCGAGCTCGCTGAGCCTGGGTCCAGGCTGGTCTGGTAACGGAGGAGGGCGCCCAGCGCCTGGACGCGGTCGGCGAGCTCGGCATTGTGCAGGAATGCCATGAAGAGCGCCGGCACCGTGCCGCGCGGCCCGCTCTCGATCGCGTCGTAGACGCGGCGCTGGTCGTCCGAGAGCGACTCGACGCTGGGGAGCGGCAGGCGTCGTTCGTCACGGTGCCGTTTCCTCGCCTTCCGCCGCCTCGCGCTCGGCGATCGGCGGCACGAAGCGCAGGTCCGTGTCCCAGGGGAAGAAGATCCACGTGTCCTGGCTGACCTCGGTGACGAAGGTGTGCGCCTCGGAGCGGCCCGCCGGCTTGGCGTAGATGCAGGCGAAGTGCGCGCGCGGCAGCATCTCGCGGACGATGCGGGCGGTGGCGCCGGTATCGGCGAGATCGTCGATGATCAGGATGTCCTTACCGTCGCCCGCGACCGGTTTCAGAATTCTCGCCGACCGCTGGTCCTGATGGTCGTAGGACGAGATACACACGGTATCGACCACGCGGATGTCGAGCTCGCGGGCGACGATCGTCGCCGGCACCATGCCGCCGCGAGTGACCGCCACGATGCTGCGCCAGGGCCCGCGCTCGGCCAGCCGCCAGGCAAGCGCGCGGGCGTCGCGATGAAGCTGATCCCATGAAACGGGGAACCCTTTCTCGAACTTCTCCGTCATCTCGTCCGCCATCCATCGATGTTGCCATGCCGCTCCCATGCAAGCCGACAACGGGCGGCCGGGCAAGGGGCGCATGGCGTAAGCCGCGGCGCCTTTCGATCCGGGCCCGATGCGGGTAAGAAGCGGCGCATGACTGATCGAGTGCGGGCGCTGCCGGGCAGCGAAGCCGAGACGCGGGCGCTCCTCGAGGAAGGGCGCTATGTCGCGGACGATGCGCTGGTCAAGACGCTCTTCCTGAGCTTCGCGCTGGGCCGCCCGCTGCTGCTGGAAGGGGAGGCCGGCTGCGGCAAGACACAGCTCGCCGCGACCCTTGCCGAGACGCTGGGCCGGCGGCTCCTCCGCCTGCAGTGCTATGAGGGCCTCGACGCATCGGCCGCCGTCTATGAGTGGAACTACGCTGCGCAGATGCTGGCGATTCGCCTGGCCGAGCGCGGCGGAACCGAGCGCGACGCGCTCGCCGAGGATATTTTCGGCGAGCGCTTTCTGGTCAAGCGTCCGCTGCTCACGGCGCTTGAGCCCGATCCCCTGGGCCCGCCGGTCCTGTTGATCGACGAGATCGACCGGGCCGACGCGCCTTTCGAGGCCTACCTGCTGGAGGTCCTCTCCGAGTTTCAGGTGAGCGTGCCCGAGCTGGGCACGGTGACCGCTGCCGAGCGGCCGCTGGTCGTCATCACCTCGAACCGGACGCGCGAGGTGCATGACGCGCTCAAGCGGCGCTGCCTCTACCATTGGGTCGGCTACCCCGACGCCGCGCAGGAGAAGGCGATCCTGCGCGCCCGCCTGCCGGGGGTCGAGAAACGGCTGAGCGACAATATCGCCGCCTTCATCGAGCGCATGCGGAGCGCCGATCTCTCCAAGGTGTCGGGCTTGAGCGAGGTGATTGCGTGGTCGAGCGCCGTCATCGAGCTCGACCGGATCGAGCTCGACCCCGAAACGATCCAGGCCAACCTCGAGCGCCTGCTGGCCTATCAACGGGGCCTCGCGGAGGCCAGCGGCCGCGCCCCGGGGCCAGCCCGGCCCGCGCCGCGGTCGTGACGACGGACCCGGTGCCGGTCGAGACGGAGGCGGGCGGCACGCTCGCCTACAACGTCATGCACTTCGTGCGGGGCCTGCGCGGCGCCGGCCTGCCGGCGGGGCCGGGCAAGACCATCGCGGCGGTGCGCGCCGTCGAGGCGGTCGATCCCACCCGCCGCAGCGACCTCTACTGGGCGCTCCACGCCGTCCTCGTCGAGCGGCGCGATCAGCACGACATCTTCGACCAGGCGTTTCACCTGTTCTGGCGCGAGATCCGCCTGCAGAGCGCGGTTCAGGGGCCGGTCATGGCGAGCGACAGGCTGCCCCAGCCCGAGGCACCGCCGGCGAGCCGGCGGGCCAGCGAGGCCATCGCCCCACGTCTGCCAGACGAGGAGGAGAATCAGGAGAACGTCGAGATCGAGCTCGACGCGGTGCTCACGTTCTCGCCCCAGGAAGTGCTGCAGGAGATGGACTTCGAGGACATGTCGGCGGACGAGCTGGCCGAGGCGAAGCGGGCGATCGCGGCGCTGAGACTCCCGATCAAGCCGGTGCCGACGCGGCGCTTCCGGCCCGACCAGCTCGGCCGGCGGATCGACATGCGGGCCACGCTCCGCGCGAGCCTGCGGTCGAGCGGCGACCTCATGCCGCTCAAGCGCCGCTCCCGCGCCGAGCGCCTGCCGACGCTGGTCGTGCTGTGCGACGTGTCGGGGTCGATGAGCCGCTACTCGCGCATGTTCCTGCACTTCGTCCACGCCGTGACCAACGACCGCGACCGGGTGCACAGCTTCCTCTTCGGCACCCGGCTCACCAACATCACGCGCTATCTCAGGCACCGCGATGTCGATGTCGCCGTCGGCAGCGCGAGCCGCGCCGTCCACGACTGGTCCGGCGGCACGCGGATCGGCCCCTGCCTCAAGGATTTCAATCAATACTGGTCGAGGCGCGTGCTGGCCCAGGGCGCGCTGGTGCTGCTGATCACCGACGGGCTGGACCGCGACGATCTCGGCATTCTGCGGGTCGAGGTGGAGCGGCTGCACAAGTCCTGCCGGCGGCTGATCTGGCTCAACCCGCTGCTCCGCTACGAGGGCTTCAAGCCCGAGGCCGGCGGCGTGCGCACGATCCTGCCGCATATCGACGACTTCCGGCCGGTCCACAACATTGCGAGCCTCATGGACATCGCCGCCGCGCTGAGCGCGCCGGCGACGGCCGAGCAGGGTGCAGCACAGGGCTGAGCCGGGCCTCTTATCATGGTCGCCGCTCGAGTCATTCGTTGCGGGCAGGGACGCACGAACCGGGCGAGACAACAATTTCACGCGGGATTTGCCGGGATTAAGTGGGATTAAGTGGGATAAGTGGGATTCTGAGGGACGGGCGGCGGCCGGTCTCGATAGGGTTGGCGTTGACGGCGCCGCACAAGCCCGCAGGTTCTTGCGTGCGGTATAGAGTAAGCCACCAGGGTCTCGCGCGCGGGATAGGGCCGCGCACGCACGCCAGACTCGCCCGCCGCAATCCATTCACTCCTGCGCTGCCTGACGCGATGCTGGCGCGGGCGGCGCACGCCGTGCAGCGCACCATGGTCCGGGCTAAGATCGGCGCCGCAACGAGGGACGGAGCACCATGAAGCTCGAAGGGAAGGTTGCGATCGTGACCGGCGGCTCGCGCGGGATCGGCGCCTGCATTGCCCGCCGCTACGGGCGGGAGGGCGCCGCCGTCGCGGTGGTCGGCAACACCAGGCGAGACCGCGCCGAGGCGGTGGTGGCCGAGATCGAGGCCGCCGGCGGCAAGGCCCAAGCGTTCCTGGCCGATATCGGCGTGGTGGCGGACTGCGAGCGCCTGGCGCGGGAGGTGATCGCGGCCTTCGGCACGGTGGACATCCTGGTGAACAGTGCCGGCATCTTCACGCCGCTCCCCATCGAGGAGGTCACCGAGGAGAACTGGGACGCCCAGCACGCGCTCAATCTCAAGGGCGCGTTCTTCCTGACCAAGGCCGTCGTCCCCACCATGAAGGCCAAAGGCGCCGGCAAGATCATCAATATCTCGTCCATCGCAGGCTGCGGCGGGTTCCCGAACTCCAGCGCCTACTGCGCGACGAAGGGCGGCCTCACCAACATGACCAAGGCGCTGTGTCTGGAGCTTGCAGGCGACGGCATCAACGTCAACACGCTCTCGCCCGGCAACATCGAGACCGACATGAACGCCGCGTTCCGCGCGGATGCGGATACGACGCGCGGCAAGCGGAGCTCACGCCGGCCGGGATCGGCCACATGGACCCGGAGCAGCTCACCGGCGCCGCGGTCTTCCTCGCCTCCGCCGATTCGGACTCGGTCCACGGTGTGGACCTCCTGGTGGATAACGGCTGGGCCGCCTGGTAGCGGCGAGGGGGCGCCACGGTGACGGCGGCAGAACGACATCCTCTACGAGGCGCACGGCCATGTGCGCCTGATCACCATCGACCGCGCCGAGAAGATGAATTCGCTCGATTTCGCGGCCAACGACCGGCTGATCGAGCGCTGGCGCGAATTCGCCGCCGATGACGAGGCGCGGGTCGCCGTCATCACCGGCGCGGGCGACAAGGCGTTCTGCGCCGGCGCGGACCTCAAGACCTACACGATGAACTATGCCGGGCGGCCTGCGCCCGAGTTTCGCACGCGGTTTACCGACGGGCCCGGCTTCGGCGGCATCACCCGGGGGCTTGAGATCGACAAGCCGATCATCGCGGCGGTCAACGGCTATGCGATCTCCGGCGGGCTGGAGCTCGCCGAGGCCTGCGACATCCGCTTCTGCTCGCCCAACGCCGAGTTCGCCCATCAGGACGTGAACTGGGGCTTCCACCCGTGCGACGGCGGCTGCGTGCGCTTGCCGCAGATCGTGGGCCTCGGCAATGCCATGGAAATCATCCTCTCGGGCCGGCGCATCGACGCCGAGCACGCGCTCCGCATCGGCCTCGTCAACCGCATCGTGCCCTGCCGCCGACCTGGTGGCGGAGACCATGGAATTCGCCGCGCTCGTGGCGAGCCGGGCGCCGCTCGCCCAGCGCTTCGCCAAGGACGTCATGTTGCGCGCCTTCGATATGCCGCTCGCGGATGGGCTCCGCCTCGAATCCCGCTCGTTCTACGATCTCGGCGGCACTGAGGACCTCAAGGAAGGCACCGACGCCTTCCGCGAGAAGCGCCCGGCCGATTTCAAGGGGCGCTAGAGGAGGTGTGCTGCGGTGCGTGCCGCCTTGCCCTCGGCCCAGCCCGAACATATCGTGCCCGCCTAGGAAAACGGGGGAGGAGCAGGGCGTGACCGACGATCCGGGACGCGGCTGCCATGACATCGGTGGGCTGCCCTCCGGCCGCATCGAGCGGGCGGAGCATGCGCATGCGCTCTGGGAAAAGCGGGTCGACGCCCTGATGGTGCTGCTCGGAAGCCAGGAGCGGCGGGTCATCACCGTGGACGAGCTTCGCCGCGGCATCGAGCAGCTCGGCGCCGAGGCCTACGACGCGATGAGCTACTACGAGCGCTGGATCGCCTCCATGACCAACACCCTGCTCAACAAGGGTGTCATCGATTCCGACGAGCTCGGCCGCCGCATGGCCGAGGTCGAGGCGCGGGGCGAGGAGGGCGCCGGCTGATGGCCGCCCGCTTCGCCGTCGGCGACCGTGTGGCCGTGCGCCGCGCCTTCCGCTCGGCCACATCCGCACGCCCTACTACGCGCGCGGCGCCGTCGGCGATGTGGAGCGCATCTGCGGCGCCTTCGGCAATCCCGAGGAGCTGGCCTTCGGGCGCGGCAACGGCCCCAGGCAGACCCTCTACCGGGTGCGCTTCGCCCAGACCGCGCTCTGGCCGGACTATGACGGCCCGCCGGCGATTCCATCGACATCGAGCTCTACGAGCATTGGCTCGAGCCCGCGACGGAGTGAGCGATGGCAACCGATTCCCACGACCACGCCCACGATCACCAGCCGCCGCCCGACGAGGACGGCCCGCTCACCTACTACCAGACCATGGAGATCGCCGTGCGCGAGCTCCTGATCGAGAAGGGCGTGTTCGGCGCCGACGACGTGCGCGCCGCGATCGAGGCGATGGATGCCCGCAGCTCCGCGCGCGGCGCCGAAGTCGTGGCCCACGCCTGGACCGACCCGGCCTTCAAGGACGCGCTGCTGGCGGACGGCACGGAGGCCTGCGCGCAGCTCGGCATCGACATCGGGCCGACCCGGCTCATCGCCGTCGAGAACACGGAGGCCGTGCACAACGTCATCGTCTGCACGCTCTGCTCCTGCTATCCGCGCAACCTCCTGGGTCTTCCGCCCGACTGGTACAAGGCGAAGGCCTATCGCTCGCGGGTGGTGCGCGAGCCCCGCGCGGTCCTGCGCGAGTTCGGCACCGAGGTTTCCTGACGACGTGACCGTGCGGGTGCACGATTCGACCGCCGACATGCGCTACATTGTGGTGCCCCGGCGGCCCGCCGGCACCGAGGGTTGGGACCGCGAGCGCCTTGCCGCGTTGGTGACGCGCGACTGCCTCATCGGCGTGACGCTGCCGAAGAACCCCTGACGCCAGCCCGGCGGCGCACGTGGGCGCCGGGCGGCCTCAGCTTGAGAGGGATCGACTTGGACTATGCATGATCTCGTGATTCGCGGCGCCATGGTCGCCGACGGTGTGGGCAATCCGCTGATCCGCACCGATGTTGCCGTCAAAGGGGAGCACATCGCCGAGGTCGGCGACGTGACGGAAAGCGCGCGGGAGACGGTCGACGCCGACGGCCTCGTGCTCGCGCCCGGCATCGTCGACGTGCACACCCATTACGACGCCCAGATCACGTGGGAGAGCCAGGCGACGCCGTCGCCCTCGCTCGGCGTGACCACGGTCGTCATGGGCAACTGCGGCTTCAGCATCGCGCCCTGCCCGCCGGAGCGGCGCGAGCAGATGGCGCGCAACCTGGCCGAGGTCGAGGGCATGTCCATCGCCGCGCTGGAGGCCGGGATCGACTGGAGCTTCGAGGACTTCCCCGAGTACCTGGCGCTGCTGCGGCGCAAGGGGTGCTATCCCAACGCCGGTGTCTTCGTCGGCCATTCGGCGGTGCGCACCACGGTGCTCGGCGCCGAGGCCTCGGATCGCGCGGCGACCGAGGACGAGATCGCCACCATGCGCGGGATCGTGAAGGAGGCGATGGAGGCGGCGCCATCGGCTTCGCCACCTCCACCTCGATCAACCACAACGGCGACGGCGGGGTGCCGATGCCCTCCCGGCTCGCGGAAGACGACGAGATGCGCGCGCTGGTGGGCGTGCTCGGCGAGCTCGGCCGCGGCATCTTCCAGCTCACCGTCGGCCCGAGCATGACGGTGGAACGGCTGGAGAGCATGGCGGCCGAGACCGGCCGGCCGGTCTTCATGACGGCAGCCCTCCACAACGAGACCTTCCCCGACCGCGCCATCGGCATGCTCGACGGGGCGCGGCCGCGCAGAGCCGCGGCAACGCGGTGTGGGCCCAGGTCTCGTGCCAGCCGCTCTGCATGGATTTCTCAATGCGGACCGCCTTCCCGCTCCAGAGCCTCAACGCCTGGGAGCCGCTGCACCGCGCCTCCGACGAGGAGTTCCTGGCGATCATCGGGAGCCAGGACTTCCGCAACAGGTTCCGGGAGGACATGGAGAAGCCGCAGAGCGGCAAGATCTTCTACGGCGACTGGCGGCGGGTCGAGGTGGCGATGGCGACGACGCCCGCGCACCAGGCGCTGGAAGGCCAGACCATCGAGGCCATCGCCGGGCGCGAGGGCCGCGATCCGATCGACGTGATGTTCGACATCGCCGTGGACGAGAGGCTCGGCACCACCTTCAACGCCGCCCTGCTCAATGCCGACGAGGCCGCGGTCGAGGACCTGCTGCGCCATGACGCGGGCCTCATCAGCCTCTCCGATGCCGGCGCCCATCTCTGCTACCTCTGCGATGCCGGCTACGGCCTGCACCTCTTGGGCCACTGGGTGCGCGACAAGGGCGTCTTCGATCTGGCGGACGGCATCCGCCGGATCACCAGCCTGCCGGCGCAGCTCTACGGAATCGCGGATCGCGGCGAGATCGCGCCGGGCAAGTTCGCGGACTTGCTGCTCTTCGATCCGGCGACGGTCGGGCGCGGCGCGATCAGGCGGGTCGACGATCTGCCCGGCGGCGAGAGCCGCCTGGTCCGCGATGCGAGCGGCGTACACGGGGTCTGGGTCAACGGCACTGGCGTCTACGATGGCGACGGCTACCGCGACGTGCCCCCGCCCGGCCACGTGCTCGACCGCTTCCTGAGCTAACCCGGACGTCTCGCCGCGGTCACTGATCGGCGCCGGCGCGCGGGGCCACCGGGGTGGGTGCCGTTTCGCTGAGGAACGGCCGCTCCGCCCGGGGCGCGACCGCCGGCTCGGGCTCGCCCGCCTCGGTCACAGTCACCCGCACTTCGAGCCGGGAGCCCCCGCCGCCGAACACGGCACCCCGCGTCGGCGCTGCATCGGCATAGTCGCGGCCCACGGCGATGCGGACATGGCGGTGGTCGGCGAGGGTGTCGTTGGTGGGATCGATGCCGATCCAGCCGAGATCGGGGAGCAGGAACTCCGCCCAGGCGTGGCTCGCCCCCTCGGGCGTCTGCTCGCCCGGTGCGCCCTTCGCGATGGAGGTAGCCTGAGACATAGCGGCTCGGGATGCCCCACGAGCGCGCGATGGTCAGCATCACATGGGTGTAGTCCTGACAGACGCCGCGCCCGGTTTCCAGAATGTGCTCGATCGGCGAATCGACAGCGGTGCTGCCCGGCTCGTATTGGAACAATGCGTGCAGCGCGCGGGCCATCTCCAGGAGGGAGGAGAGGGGGTCGCCCCCGCGGCGAAGACCGTTCGCGTCGGTAAAGGCCGCGAGCGCCGGGCTCGGACGGGCGAAGCGGCTGGGCGCCAGAAACTCGAAGTAGTCGAGAGGTGCCGCGGCCTCGGCCAGTGCGTCCCACGCGTCGGCTGCCAAGCGATCCGGCAAGTCTGGCGCCGGCGCGGTCACGACGTCGGCCTTGGAGCGCACGGCGGTGCGCTCGTGCGACCGATGGATATTGAACAGATGGCAGGCATTGCCGAAGGGGTCCTCGAACGCAATCGGGGCGGCGGCCGGATCGATCTCGAGCGAGAAGGAGGCGACCCGCTGCCCGTTATCCTCTCGCGGATGCAGGCGCACCACCATCAGGCTGCCCTGCGCCGGCTCCCCGTAGCGAAAGTCCGAAAGGTGCTCGACCAGGAACCGCCGCGGCGTGTCTTCGCTCACGGCGCGTCCTCGATCTCGTAGTCGAAGTAGGCGGCCGCGATGTCGTCGTTAAGGAGGCGACAGGACTCGCCGATGTCTTGAAGCACGGCACGGGTGGCCTTGTCATCGTGAGGATCCCGATCGGGCCAGTCATGGTCGACGCTGGCTGCCATCCGGCCCGCGCGACGCTCCGCTTCGATCTGAAGCGGCGGGCCCGCGGCGACGGCATCCAGCGCCTCGACGACTTGCGCCAGCCCGTAGCGGATCGAGTGCGCCAGCGACGGGTCGGCGACCAGGAAGTCGACCATGCGGGGCGATCCATGTTCCAGGGAGTACAGGCGGCGGTAAGCGAAGTGCGCCTCGCAGATCCAGAGCAGGGAGAGCCAGTCCGCTTCGCCGTGGCGGGCGGCCGTCGGAAACAGCGATATGTGTGCATCCACTAGTGCGGCAATAAGCTGCACCCGTTCGACGAAGCGCCCGAGCTGGAGGAAGTGCCAGCCGTCGTCACGGTAAATCGTGCCCTCGGCGATGCCCGAGACGGTGCGCAGCGCGCCCTCGGTGCGGTCGTAGAAGGTGCCCGGCCGGTCGTTCCAGATGGTCTCCATCTCGACATCGCGCAGATCGAAGTAGGCGAGGTTGAGGGAGGACCACATCTTGTCGGGGATGACGTTGCGGACCTGCCGGGCGCTCTCGCGCGCCGCTGCTACGCAGTTGCGGATCGCATCGGAGTTGCCCGGCTCGAAGGTCAAGTCGTCGGCCAACGTGTAGGCGTCGGCCAGCATGAAGTCTTCGTCATCGGGGGGCGGCTCCAGATGGCCGCCCAGCGGGGTGCGGCCGACGGCTAGATAGAGCCGCCGCCAGCTCTGGTCGATCTGCTCGACCGGCCGATCCTCGATGATGATGAACTGCTCCGCCAGCAAAGTGGCAGCCGTGCTGCGCCCGCTCGAGATAGCGGCCCATCCAGTAGAGGCCTTGGGCGTTGCGCGAGAGCATGCGGCTAGGGTCCAGGTCGAGAAGTCTTTGTCCATATGCTCGGCGCCCCCAACACGTCATGGCCGGACTCGTTCCGGCCATCCACGCGTTTGCCCAACGCCCAGCGGTCCTGGTTGCGAGAGATGCCCGGAACAAGTCCGGGCATGACGGCGTGGGGGAGAGGCTCGGTCGGAGAGACCGTGCACAGGCTCGACCATATGCGAATGAATTTGGGATACATGAGCCTAGTCGGAAAGCACCCAGAGGTCCTTGCCGCCGCCGCCCTGGCTCGAGTTTACGACGAGCGAGCCTTCGACGAGCGCGACCCGGCAGAAGGCGCCGGGGACGAGGCGCGTCTCGTTCCCGCGCAGCACGAAGGGGCGAAGGTCGACATGGCGCGGTGCCGCGCCAGAGGGGGTGAGGCAGGGAGAGACCGAAAGGTCGAGCACGGGCTGGGGAGACGTAGTTGGCCGGGTTCTTCCGCATCTCCTCGGCATAGGCTGCGCGCTCGGCGGGCGCGGCGTGGGGGCCGACGAGCATTCCGTAGCCGCCGGATTCGCCCACCATCTTCACGATGAGCGTCTCCAGATTGTCGAGCGTGTATTCCAACGCCTCGGGATTGCGGCAGAGATGGGTCTCGACATTGGAAAGCAGCGGCTCCTCGCTCAGATAATAGCGGATCATGTCGGGCACGTAGGCGTAGACGCTCTTGTCGTCGGCGACGCCGGTGCCCGGCGCGTTGGCGATCGTCACGTTGCCGAGCTTGTAGGCATAGAAGAGGCCGGGGGTGCCGAGCTGCGAATCGGGGCGGAAGGCCAGCGGGTCGATGAAGTCGTCGTCGATGCGGCGGTAGATCACGTCCACCTTCTTCAGCCCGGCGGTGGTCCGCATATAGACGAACCCGTTGTGGACGCGCAGGTCGCTGCCCTGCACCAGCTCCACGCCCATCTCCTGCGCCAGGAACATGTGCTCGTAAAAGGCGGAATTGTAGACGCCGGGGGTGAGCAGGACGATGCAGGGGTTGGAGACGCCGGGCGGCGCAAGCTCGGCGAGCGTCTGGTGCAGCAGCTGGCCGTAGTGATCGATGCCGCGCACGCGGTGGCGGCGGAAACAGGTTGCGCAGGCTCGTCTTCAGCGCGCGCCGGTTGGCCAGCATGTAGGACACGCCGGACGGCACCCGCAGATTGTCCTCCAGCACCACGAAGCCGTCGTTGGTCCGCACGATGTCGGTGCCGCAGAGCGCGACGTAGACGCCGTGCGGCACCTCCAGGCCCCGCATCTCGACCCGGTATTGCGGGCAGCCGCGTACCAGGTCCACCGGAACGACCCCGTCCTCGAGGATCCGCCCCGGTCCGTAGACATCGGCGAGGAAGAGGTTGAGCGCCTCCAGCCGCTGCCGCAGGCCGCGCTCGACCAGGTCCCAGTCGGCAGCGTCGAGGAGCCTCGGCAGGAAGTCGATGGGGATGATCCGCTCCTGCGCGCCTTCCTCGCCGTAGACCGCAAACGTGATCCCCTGGTGCAGGAAGGAACGCTCGGCGTAGTCCTGCATGGCGGCGATCTCGGCAGGGCGCATCCCGTCGAGCGCCTCGCAGAGCTCCCGGCAATGGGCGCGCGGCACGCCGGTGGCCTCGAACATCTCGTCAAAGAACGCCGGGCGGGTCTCATACGCGGCGAAGAGACGCGTCCCCGCTTCTTCCGGGTCTTCGCGATCGGCCTCCGATTGCCTGCCGCGCGATTCGCGACTCATAGGCCACGCTCGCAATCTGTCAGACTCGATATGATTGTCGTTTGGAACCGGGGCGATTCGCAAGCGCGGCGGCGCCGCGCCGAGCGCAGGCCGTGACCGTGGTGAGAATCCCGGGTTAGTGCAGCGTCGGCGGTGCGGCGTGCTCCACTGGCGCCGCCTGGCAAGTACCCGCGTTGGCAGCCAGGTGAAGCCGCTGCGGCAGGCGAAAGCCCGCACCCAGCAGCGCTGCCGCAAACGAGGCGCCGTCGGTCGCGGCGGTCCGCACCGCTGCCGGCGGCAGGAACCAGGAGAGCAGGGTGGCCGTGTGCCGGCAGTCTCCTTCCTGGCACCCGGCGAGAAAGGACATGAAGAGCCGTTCGTCGTTGCTGACAAAGCGGCAGCACATCGGGTTGAGCCGCAGGCTGCGAACGCCCGGCGCTGCCGAAGATATCGAGTGTGCGCTCCAGCGCCTCCGCCGCCTCAGAACCGGCCGTAGGACCGCCGGTCGGGCAGAGTGCGACGCCGAGTTCGCCTTCAACGCGCGCGAGAACGTCTTGCCGGCAGGCGGAGGCCTCGGTTTCGGTCGCTGCCGCGCCAAGGCCCGCGGCGGACAGCCTGCGCGCCGACCAGAGCACGAGCTGTTCGGCGAAGGTGAGCCGCGGAACCGTCATCCCCGGCCCGGTCGAGGTGCCGCGCCTTCGGCGACTCCATCGTCGTGTTGCGTTGCGCCGCTGTTCATCTCGCCTTCATCCCTGTCCTCGCCCGTGCGGCGGTTGCCGGCTCTATATGCGATAACTCGCATTCATGATACTCTAACCGCCGGATACGATAATGCAACTCATTCTTATCTCACGTCGTGAGTGCGATTTGCGTCCGAAGCGTCCGTCGGCGCTGCGCCGACCATAATCGAGGTGCAAAGCCCTAACCAATCCGTTATGCATCGGTGATCATCACGTCCCACGATCCTCTCGAAAGGCTCGCAGCCATGAAGTTTCAATTGGCCATCAACATGGAGCGGCTCGTGCCCGACCTCGACATGACCGACGTCGAGCGCCATACGCTGGAGATGGTGCAGATGGCCGACGAGGGCGGGTTCGCGATCGCATGGGCCGCCGAGCACCATGCGCTGGAGATGACCATCGCGCCCAATCCGTTCCAGATCCTGACCTGGTGGGCGGCGCACACCTCGCGCATCCGGCTCGGCTCGGCGGTGGTCGTGGCGGCGTACTGGCATCCGATCAAGGCTGCGGGCGAGGCTGCGCTGCTGGATCTCTACAGCGGCGGGCGGCTCGAGTTCGGCATCGGCTCCGGCGCCTACCAGCGCGAGTTCGACCGCATGCACTCGGGCCTGCAACGCAATGACGCGTTTCACTACATGTTCGAGATGCTGCCGGCGGTGAAGGCGCTCTGGCAGGGCGACTACGCGCACGAGGGCGAGTTCTGGTCATTTCCTGCCGCGACCTCCGTGCCGAAGCCGCTGCAAAAGCCCCATCCGCCCATCTGGATCGCCGCGCGCTCGCCGGACACCTACGACTTCGCGGTGAAGCACGAGTGCAACATCCTCTCGTGGCCTCTCACCCGCCCGGTGTCGGAGGTCGAGGCCTACAGGGAGCGTATGGAGACCGCGCTCGCCGACAACCCCGGCAAGCCCCGGCCCATCTTCGCCACCATGCGCCACACGGTGGTGTACGATCGCAAGGAAGAGTGGGAGGTGCCGGTGAAGGCCGCGATGCGCCAGTTCGGCCAGTTCGAGAACCTGTTCAAGAACCTCGGCGACGTCGCCAACGGCTTTCCCCGCACGATCGAGCTTTCGGAGCTGGAGAACCGGGACGAGTACGACCCGCAGATGCTCCAGCGCAACCTCATGTTCGGCACGCCTGACGAGGTGATCGAAAGCTCAGGGCCTACGAGGCGCTGGGCGTCGACCAGTTCACGTACTACGCGAGCCTCGGCCTCGGGATGAAGGAGCAGAAACGCTCGCTCAAGCTGTTCATCGAGGAGGTGATGCCGGCATTCGCGTGACGATACATGCGCTGTCGGCAATGAACGGCAGGCGTGTATGAGCGCCGGTAGCGCGGGCGAAACGGCCTGGGAGCTGCACGGAAGCGGCCCGGCGGTCGTGTCTGATCCACGGCTTCGGGCTCAACCGCGCGATGTGGCAGTGGCAGCTCCCCGCGCTCACGCCGCATTTCAGCGTGCTCACCTACGATCTGCTGGGGCACGGAGAGAGCGCGCGGCCACCGGCACGCCCGATCTCGCCATGTTCTCCGCGCAGCTGCTCGGCTCATGGACCGCTGCGGTATCGCGCGTGCGGCGGTCGCGGGGTTCTCGCTCGGCGGCATGATCGCGCGCCGCTTCGCGCTGGACCATCCGGACCGGCTTTCGGCGCTCGCGATCCTGCACTCGCCGCACGACCGCAGCCCCGCCAACGCGACGCGGTCCGCAAGCGCGTCCGTCAGACGGAGGCGCAGGGGCCTTCGGCGAACCTGGAGCCCGCGCTCGAACGCTGGTTCACGCCGGCGTTCCGCGCCGAAGAGCCGGAGGCTGGGTCGCACTTGTCCGCACGTGGATCACGCGTAACGACCCGGCCGTCTATCCGCAGATATACCGTGTGCTCGCAGAGGGCGATGCGGAGATCGCCCGGGGTCTGGAGCGGATCGCGTGTCCGACCCTGGTCATGACCGGCGAGAACGACCCCGGCAACACGCCCGCCATGGCGCGGGCCATGGCCGGGCTCATCCCCGGCGCCCGCCTCGCGATTCTGCCGGGTCTCAGGCACATGGCGCTCGCCGAATCGCCGGCGGCGGTCAACGAGCCACTCGCGCTTCCCGCGACGCACTCGGTACACACCCGACGCGGGTAAGCGGTCCGTTCTTGACACCCGCGACAGCCGCGACCGCGGCCGCCCCCGCGGGCTCGGCCTCGCGCTGGACGCAGCTACGGGACGGCGACTGCCGACGCCGGCTGCGGGAGGACAAGTGCTACCCGAACGCGGCGAGGATGCCGACGCCACTCACCACCATGCCGACGCCGCCCCATTGCAGCGGCGAGACCGGCTCGCGCAGTAGGAAGAGATGCGCGCCAGCACCACCGTCACCACCGTGTAGCCCACGCTGGCCACGATTGCGTACTCGCCATGGGGCAGGTCGAGGCCGATGTAGAGCAGCAGGTGGCCGAGGGTATCGAGGAGCCCGAAGGCCGCCAGCACGGGCCAGGCCCGCACCGGGAAGCGCACGCGTTCGCGGCGCACGAGCAGGATCGCTCCAAGCGCCACGAAGCCGATGAGTCGCACGATCAGAACGGTCTGCCAGGGGCCATAGATCTCGATGGCCCGGTCGGCAGCGGTGAGGGAGGCGGCGTAGGTCGCGGCGGCGATCAGGGAGTAGAGGATCGTCCGCCGCACCACGGCGGGCGCGTATTCCGGCGCTGCGCCTTCGCCCGACGGCGTCGCCCGCGCGACCAGCCAGACCCCGGCCATGGTGGCGACCATCGCGACCCAATGGACCGGTTCGGGGCGGGCGCCGAGGGCGACGGAGATCGGCACCGCGATCGCCGGGTAGCAGGCCACCACCGGCGAGGCGAGCGACACCGGCCCGTGGGTCACGGCATGATAGAACAGGATCGAGCCGATTACGGTGCCGGCACCGATCCCTATGAGCCAGTGGATACCGTCGAGGCGCCATTCGAAGGGCTCGCCCGTCGCTGCCATGACGGCCGCAATCAGCGCGGCGCCGATCGTCATCATCGTGCAGGTCGCCACCAGAACGCCCACCGAGCGGCCGGCGAAACGCGCGACGATATCCGAGACGCCCCACGAGAGCGCGCAGCCCGCGCCCCAGGCGGCGGCGCTCTCTATCATCGGCGCGCCGTCACAGCGTCATGCGATCATACGGGGCGGCCGTCCGCGCAGGCGCCAGCGGCTGGGAGAAGTCTAGCGGAGTTGGGTGGACCCATGGCGGCGCGGATTATGGGCGGTGCGACCGGCCCCGTCGAGGCACGGGAGACACTACGGCGGCGCTACGCCATAATTCCGTCGCATTCTTGCGAGATCGTAGCCTCGACAGCCGGGGTGAATGACAGTGCGGCTTCTTCGCGCGAGACACTGGCTCGGAGGCCGCACGCCGCGATCGCGGAGGGCGCTCGTTGTGGGCTGCGCCTTGGTTTTGATCGGCTCCGCGACGGCGGGAACCCCGGCTGTCCCTGCGGAGGCGGATGGGGCGTACGCCGTGCGCGCGTCCCCGTGGGCGTCGGCCGCCGCCGAGGCGCGCATTCTGGCCGACCGTATCCTGCAACGAGAGAGCGACGACCTCCTGCTGGACGGCAGGCGGCAGCGCACGCTCGGCCACGAGATCAAGCAGGCGTTGTCGCTCATCCGACGCAGCTATCCGGCGATGGCATCGATTACGGCGCGGGACGCGCACGGCACGGCGACGCTTCTTCTCGGCCTGGAGGGCGCGCTGCGCGATGCGGTCGTCGGCACGTGGGACGGCGAGAGCGTCTCCGCCCCGCCGCGAACCGGGCATGCGGCGTTCGATGCCCTCAATGCGACACTCGGGCTCAGGGCGGTTCAGCCGTTCCCCACCCTCGACTCGGTCGTCCTGCACTCGACGAGCGCGCGAACATCGCTGCGGCGATCCGGGCGTATCGCGCGATCGGCGGTGTCGCCTATGCGGAGCCGGACGCGGCGTTGGGGGATGGCCCCGATATCGAGGCGGCGAAAGTGCAGGGTCGCTGGCACTTCGTCTTTCGCCGGGCGTGGGGCGACTGCCCCTCCGGCTGCATCGACGAGGAGCTCTCGTTCTTCACCGTGGCGGACGGAGAGGCCGAACGGATCGAGCCCGCGCAGGCGCGCAGCATGGACGCCTTCGCGGCGCTCCTCGTCCGCCGAATCTGGCGCTAATCGGGTTGGAAGCGGGGCGTCCGCTCAGGCTGCGGGCAGGTCGAAGTTGTAGAAGCGGGCGCAGTTGTTGAAGGTGATGTCGCGCCGGATCTCTTCATCGAGATGGCCGAACACGCGGTCGATCACCTTCATCGTGTTCGGATAGGTGCAGCGCGCGTGCGGGAAGTCCGAACCCCACATGATGGTCTTCGGGTCGACCACGTCCAGCACCTTGTCGAGGTAGGGATCGTCGATCAGCCCGTGGTAGATCTGGCTTAGATATTCCTCGACCGGCCGTTTGATCTTGGGGATGTCCAGCGCGGGGCCGAAATCGTCCTGGATCTGCTTGGCGCGGAACAGCCAGTAGGGCAGCCAGCAGACCTCGTATTCCGAGAGCACCAGCTTCAGCTTCTCGAAGCGGTCGAGCACCCCGCCGAAGATGAACTCGTTGGCGAGCACGGGGCCTGCCTCCGCCAGGACATTCAGCGTGCTGCGCGCCATGTTGATGCGCTCGGACCCATGCAGGGTGAAGGGGTCGACCTCGTTGCCGGTGATGATGTGGAGCGTCACCGGCTGGTCCAGCTCCTGCGCAAGCGCCCAGAAGGGGTCGTAGTGCTTGTCCTGGAACGGCGGCCACTCGGGGCGCGCATCGCAGTTGATGATCACGCTCTTGAGGCCGCGCTTGGCGGTCGCGCTCCAGCTCCTTGCAGGCCCAGTCGATGTCCGCCATGTGGATCATCGAGGTGCCGTAGAGGCGCTTGGGCGCGTGGCTGCAGTATTCGGCGAGCCAGTCGTTGAACACCTGGCACAAGTCCTCGACCAGCCGGTCGTCCCGCGCGCGCAGCGCATAGAGCATCCATGTGGAGTTCACGATCTCGCCGATGACGCCGTCCTCGTCCATGCAGACGAGGCGGATCGCGGGGTCGGTGCCCGAGCCGACGAGCTTCCGCTGCAGCTCCTCGTCGCCCTCGACGATCTCGTCCACGCGGACGTATTCGAGGCCGGTGAAGAAGTGGTCGGCCTTGATCCCCGCATGTTCGGAGACCATGCGGGGCACGGCATCGCCGTAACGCGCACCGAGCGGCTTCGACCAGAGATCCGCCGGCTCGATGACGTGGGAATCGCCGGAGATGACGGGGAGTTGTCCGTTCGTCGCCATCGCTAGTCGCTAGTCCCTGAGCATGAGCAGCAGCTTCTGCCGGTAGTTGTCGGCGATCACCGCGAGGATCAGCAGGATGCCGATCACCACCAACTGCATGTAGGAGCTGATGCGCAGCAGGTTCATGCCGTTCTGCACCAGGATGATGAAGATGGCGCCCAGCACCACGTTGGGCAGCCGCCCGGTGCCGCCGAAGAGGCTGACGCCGCCGATCACGCAGGCCGCGATCGAGAGCAGCGGATACTCCTTGCCGATGTTCCCCTCGCCGCTCTCGAGCCGGGCGGTCAGCATGATGGCGCCGATGGTCGTTATTCCCGCGGTCACCACGTAGGCCATGAACAGGTAGAAGCGCGTGCTGATGCCGGAGAGCTGCGAGGCCTTGAGATTGCCGCCGAGCGCGTAGAGATAGCGCCCCATTCGGGTCCAGTTGAGGAAGACGTACATCAGGATGACGAACCCGATGGTGATCCAGATCGGGATCGGGACCCCGAGGCCTCTGCCGTAGCCGAGGACGTTCGCGAAGGTGTCCGGCATGCCGTAGATCGGCGTGCCGCCGGTGATTATGAGCGCGATGCCGAAGACGATGGACGACATAGCAAGCGTCATCATGAAGGGCGGCACGCGGAAGACCGCGACGCCGATGCCGTTGACCACGCCGATGCCGGTGCCGGCGCCGAAGCCCGCGAGGCAGCCGATGAGGATCGCGCCCGTGGAGGCGACGCCGCCATCCCAGGCGCCGACCATGGCCATCGACGTGATGACCGAGACCAACGCGAACATGACTCCGACCGAGAGGTCGAGGCCCGCGGTCAGCAGCACGACCATCTGGCCCATGGAGACCATGGTCAGATAGGTCGCCTGGCGCGCGACCTGCATGACATTGCGGCCGCTGAGGAAGTTGTCCGTGGTCACAGAGAAGACGACGACCGCGATGAGGAGGAACCAGGGAAGCACGCCCGCGCGGACGAAGATGAGCGTTGCGAAATACTCCGCTCTCTCCAGCCACGTCGTGCGCTGCTGGTCGATATCGGCCATTAAGTCTCCCTCCGGGTCACGCCTCGGCCTCCTTCTCGAAGAAGTGGTGCAACACCGATTCCTCCGAGATTTCGGATTGGTCCAGCTCGGCGCGCAGCTCGCCGCGGTACATGACGTAGGCGCGGTGGGTGAGGTGCAAGATCTCCGGCAGGTCCGACGAGATCAGGAGCACGCCGGCGCCGGCCTCGCAGAGATCGCGGATGAACTCGTAGATCGCCACGCGCGCGCCGACATCGACGCCGACCGTCGGCTCGTCGAAGATGAAGAGCTTGACGTTGCGCACCAATGACTTGCCCACGAGCACTTTCTGCTGGTTGCCGCCTGAGAAATGCTCGAGATCGCGCTCGATGTTGAGCGGCATCAGGTCCAGATCCCGCGCGATATCGCGCACGACCTTGCGCTCGTTGGCCCTGCGCAGAAAAAGGGGGTTCGAGAACGTGGAGAGCCCGAGAGAGGGTAGCGCCACGTTCTCCCGCACGTTCTGCATCATAATCAGGCCCTCTTTGCGGCGGTCCGAGGGCAGGTAGTAGACGCCGCGGTCGAGCATCCGGCGCGGGCCCAGCTTGTTCACGTGCTTGGCTCGGTCGTAGACGACCTCGCCGTCGAAGGCGATCGAGCCAGCCCTGATGCGTTCGAGGCCGAAGCATGCACGGCCGAGGTCGGACTTGCCCGACCCCACCAGGCCAGCGAGGCCCACCACTTCGCCGCGCCGCACGTTGATCGAGACGTCGTTCACGAAATTCTTTGCCGTGACGAGGCCTTCGATCTCCAGCAGGGTTTCGGCCGGGTTGCGCTTGATGTGCGGGAAGATCTGGTCGATGACCCGGCCGGTCATCAGCTCGACGAGCTTCTGATCGCTCGCTTCCTCGACGGGGATGGTGTCGATGTGCACCCCGTCGCGCAGCACGGTGATGCGGTCGCCGATCCGCTTGATCTCGTTCATCCGGTGGGTGATGTAGATGATGCCGATGCCATCGGACTTGATCTGCTCGATCAGCCCGAACAGCCGGTCGGTCTCGCGTTCCGTGAGCGACGCGGTCGGCTCGTCGAAGATCATGATATCGGGCTGGGTGCGGAAGGCCTTGGCGATCTCCACCATCTGCTGCTCGGCGCGGGAGAGGTACATCACCTCGTCCCGCGGCCTGAGCGGGAAGCCCAGGCGGTCCAGCGTCTCGCGCGCCTGCCTGGCGAGCGCCGCCTTGTTGAGGAGCGGCCCGCGCGTCAGCTCATCGCCGAGGAACAGGTTCTCCTCGACCGTGAGCTGCGGCACCAGCGAGAATTCCTGAAACACGGCGCTCACGCCGAGCTGGCGTGCATGGTGCACCGAGTGAATGACGGTCGGCTTGCCGCGCAGATGGATCGTTCCGCCCGACGGCCTGTGAACGCCGGCGACGACCTGGATCAGGGTCGATTTGCCCGCGCCGTTCTCGCCAAAGAGGACATGTACCTCGCCCGCGCGCACGTCGAAATTGACGCGGTCCAGCGCGAGCGTACCGGGAAACTGCTTCGAGAGATTTTCTAATCTGAGAAGGGTGTCCCCGGAGGCGTGGGCCTCCGGGGACTCCTCAAGTGCTACGGCTGATGGTTCTGCCACTGTGATGGGCCTCCACCAGTCTCGTTCTTAGTCAGCACGAAAGCGTGCTCAGTCAGTGCTGAACACGGGGCTCCAGCCCTTCGGCGCGAGCGTCGTGGAGGTATCGAAGTCCCCGTGGTTCTCCGGCGTCACCATCGCCGCAACCGGCTGCACATGCTCGATCATCCGGCCGGTGTCGTTGAACTCGGGCCGTCCGCCGGTCGCCGACGGCTTGCCCTCGAGGATGCGGACCGCCTGGTCGATGGAGATCCGCGCCTGGATGATCATCTGGTCGGTCGGCGCCATGGCGACGCTGCCGCGGCCGACGAACTGATGCATGCCGGGCGTGTAGTAGTAGGAGACGAGCTTGATCTCGTCCTGCAGGCCCAGGTCGCGGAGCGCGGCCATGCCGCCCTCGACCGCCGGCGCCACGCCGACGATGTAGTCGAGATCGACGTCGTCGCCCGAGGTCTGCGCCTGGATCACGTTCTCGACGAGGCTGAGCTGGGCCTCCTTGCTGGTCTGGGCCCACTTGGTCGAGATGATCTCGGCGTCGGAGCCCACGACCGCGTCGTGGCAGCCCTGATTGCCGGCGACCGACCAACTGGCTCCGGGCGGTCCCGGGAACCAGGCCAGCTTGACAGCGCCGCTGCCTGCTGGGTGCTGATCGGCGATCCACTTACAGGCGATGCGACCCATGCTGTAGTAGCTCTCCAGCGACTTGGCATCGACCTCGGTGTTGATCCCGTTGATCAGGTCGACAATCGGGATGCCCCTGGCACGCAACTCGTTGACCTGCTTGATGTTGCCCTCGGCGGAAATGGCGGAAAGTACGAGGATCTCGGCGCCGTTCGCGATGCAGTCCTCGACCTGCGAGAGCTGCTTCTCCAGCTTGTCGTAGCCGCCGGCTTCGATCAGGGAGATCTTCTGGCCGAGGCGCGTGCCTTCCTCGATGATCCCGTAGGCCGCGCCGACCCAGTAGGAGTCCACGAGGTGGGGGAAGGACACGCAGATATGGTGCTTGGCATCCACCTCATCGGGCATCAGCGGCACGTAGTCCACGACGTCGAGGTTCTGGTTGGCTGGATCGGTCCAGCACGCCGGATCTCCGTCGGTGCAGGACGGGTTGTAGATTTCCACTTTTGCCGGCCACCAGACGCCGTCGTCCTGTGCCTGCACGTCGGTCGCGACGAAGCTGGCCGTGGCCATGCCCGCCGCAACGGCGACGCCTAACGTCAGTTTCCACATAGTCGTTTCTCCCTCTGGTCATGGACCCGTATCGGCGAAGGCGCCGGTGAATTTCGCCGGCGCCTATGCCACCACGTCTCCGTGCGGTGCGCATACTACGGTTCGACGCACCGCTCGGCAAATTGGCATCTTGCTGCGAAACCCGCCCTCGCGATGAGGCGGGGATACGCGCCGAATCAGTGGGCGCGGTGCCCGCATGTCCTCAGGCACGACCGCGCCGTCCTGCACGATGAGCTCGTCGTCGAGCCAGAGCGAACGGCCTGCATCGGCAGGTCGAGGTGGCAGGGCGTGTCGTTCTCGCCGCCGAACTCCGTATCGGGGCCGAGGGAGAACAGCACGTTGCCGTAGTGCGCGCGGCCGTCCATGCCGATGCCCGGCAGGTCGGGCCGCCAGATGCAGTGATGGTTGAGCCCCCAGCCGATGTGCGAGACCGCGTAGGCGCGCGGGTCGTTATAGCCCTCGATGAAGCCGCGCAGGTTGTCGGCGCGGGCACCGCCGCTGATCTCCGTCACCATGCCCTCGCTGATCTCGAAGGCGATCCGCTCGCCGGTGAACTCGCGCAGCGGGAAGACGATGTCGTCCGCTCCATCACCACCCGGCCGTTCACGCCGCGCTCGGCCGCGAGCGTCGCGAGGAAGCCGCCCGGCCAGTGGTCCCAGCGGCCGGGCTGCGTGGTGTAGCCGTATTCCGTCAGGATCGGCTTGTTGCCGAGCGTGTAGGTCACGTCCGTGCCGGCATCGTTGGTGAAGCGGAGCCGCTCCGCCGCGGTGAGTCGCCGCTCGCCGCCTCGACGCGCGCGCGCATCTCGGCGGTCGGGAACAGGCGCTCCAGAATCTCAACCGGCTCCACGACGAGCAGGATGCGGGAGCCCGCTTCTTGCATCGCAATCTGCTCGTGGGAGAAGAGGAGGAGCATGTGGTCGACGACCATGTCGGCGTCCTTGCAGGTCTGCATCGCCTCCGGGTGCTTGCTCAACGCGTTCTGCCCGATATTGGCGATCCTGACCGCAGGGTCCTCCGCCCCGTCCGAGGGGAGGTGCACGTCGGCCACATCGGCGCCGAGGTCGCGCGCCGCGCCAGCGAGGCTTCTCTGTAGTTCCCGAGCTGATCGCCTTCCGAGAGGACGGCGACCGTCTCCCCGGCCCTACCTCGCAGAGCTCCAGGTTGCGCCTGAACAGCTCCGTCAGTCGTGCCTGATCCTGCTGTGTGCCCATGATTTCAGCTCCTATTCCGCCGCGCTCACCAGCGCCGTGTAGCCGCCATCGCGCGGCTCCCTGCTGCGCGAGGCGCTCTCGCGCAGCGCTTCGTCGCCTTCCTGGCGGCGCCTGGCGCGGGCCTCGTCGTCTTCGCTCAAGAGTTTGTCGAGATAGTAGTTGAGAAGGTGGTGGATGGCGCGCTCCAGCTTGACCGTCGGCCCCGGCCGGAAGGCGCGCGAGCCGACGCCGTTCTGGAGCGATTCGAGCATCGCCCGGTCCTCGTTCGCGACCAGCCGGATGAAGTCGGCATAAATCTGGTTCTTCTCCTCGAAGGCCGGCTCGTCGAAATAGGCGTCGGGCAATTGCGTGTAGATGATGATCTGGGTGGTGGCGTGGTCGATCGGCAGCGCCACCCAGGGCTGGATCAGGTCGTGGCGGCCGAAGATGTTCATGGTCGGCCGGATCCAGGTGGTGCACGCGAACTTGTCCGTTACCTTGCCCTTGAGCCACGGCATGGTGTCGAAGAGCGTGACGCCGTTCGGCGCCATGGTGAAGCTCTCGTAGGCGGCGTTGTAGCCGTTCTTCTGCAGGTTGAAGCGGAAGTCGTTGACCGGGAAGTGCCCGCCGAATGACTCATTGTGGATCACGCCGACGTGGTACATGTCCATCAGGTTCTCGGGGATGAACTTCCAATTGCACGGCACGTCGAAGACGTACTTGTCCGATGTCCGCGTGTTCTCCGGCTGCAGGAACGCCGCGAACTCCTGATCCCGTCCTCGTCCAGATAGTCGGCGAGGCTCGGGCAGTCGGGGTCGAAGTTGACGAAGATGTAGCCGCCCCACGTATCCAGATTGACCCGCGGCAGCGCGCACGATGCGAAGTCGAAGCCCTCGACCTGCTTCGAGTGCGGCGCGCCGAGCAGCTTGCCCTCCAGGTCGTAGACCCAGGAGTGATAGGGGCAACGGAAGCTCTTGCACGTCCCTTCGCCGGTCGCGACCTCGACGCCCCGGTGCCGGCAGACGTTATGGAAGGCGTTGAGGGCGCCCCTGGCGTCGCGGCAGACGAGCAGGGGCTCGCCCGCGATCCGCATGGCCCGGTAGTCGCCTTCGTTCTCGAACTCCTCCACGCGGCCGACGCAGAGCCACTCCTTCATGAAGATGGTTTCGACCTCGTAGTCGAAGATCTCGGGCGCCGTGTAGAGGAAGCCCGGCAGGTGCCGCGCCTGGCCGAGGCTCCGGCGCGTCTCCCTGATCGCCTCGAGAATGCTCTCGTCGAGCGTGATGCCCCGATTCTGCATTGCTCAACGTCCCCCTTGTTTGTCAATGCCGCCAGTATAGCGGCTCGCCCCCGGCGAGTCCGCAGGCGCGACCTCTCCTCACCCCGGCCCACTCCGCCCCACCGGGAGGGGAGGGGGAGCCCGGCCGGGGCCGTCTACAGGTGGAACGCGCGCCCCTGGATGATGTCGGATTCCCCGCTCTCGAGATGGTGTGGCCCGCTCACCCGGAACCAGTACTCGATGTCGTCCCCGTAGTAGACTTGGTAGCAGTTGGTCTCGTGAACCGTATCCCACGTGCCCGAATAGCGCACGCCGCCCCACTCGCTGAGCCCTCCGCGACTCCGCAATTCATCGACGGTGACGCAGCGCGTGCCATCGTCGCTGACGGACCACGTGCCCTCCGAGCGGTATTGTCCCTGCAGGGTCACGAGCTGGGCCTTGAGCGTTCCGTCGGGGCGGTAGTACGTCACGAAGGTTCCGCCCCCTCCCGACATGGAGGTGGTATTGCCCGTCAGCGCTGCGACGACCTCCTCGGCCGTGGCTGGGCGCAGCCCGCGCTCCTCCATGGATTCGCGCAGCTGCTGGGTCACGCGCGCTTCCATCTGGGCCAGGTTCGCTGCTACGACCTGGGCCTCTTCCGGGGTCAGTGGCTTGCCTCTCGGCATGCACGCGGCCAGCAACCCGGCCATGGCCAACGCGATGCCTATGCCTCCGAGCACTCGTCTCATGGGTTGCTCCATTCCCCTGTCGGATCGATGGCCCGCGACTGCCTTCTCACGAATCGTTTTCCTGTACCGGCGGCATCCGCCACCCGACCCGCCGCCCCTACGCAGGGCAGCGGGTGAGCAGGCGGCCCTGGTCGTCGAAGCGGAGCGCTTCGGCCTCCCCCAGCACCTGGCCGTCGCCGTTGAGCTCCGCGGCGAGCGGCGGCGAGACGAGTATCGTCTCCATATGCAGGGTCGAGCGGATCAGGCAGAGCCGCGCCTCGGCGCCGTCGAGCCGCCAGCTGGTGCCGACGGCGGCCTGCAGCGCCGCCTTGTCGCTCGCGAGCACGGCGGGGATCCGCACCCGCTCGGTAAAGGTCGCGGTGCAGGCATTCATGTACATGGCATAGAGGTCGAGTTGGTCGGCGACTGCCTTGGTCGTGTAGTCGGCCGAGCCCACGCCGAGGCCGTTGCCGTGGGTCTCCGGCGTCAGCCCCAGCACCACCAGCTTGCTGATCGCCGGCGCCGGCGGGTTGGGGCGCCCACGGATGTCGTAGCGCGCGATGACCGCCGGGTCCATGCCGGTGCCGGAGATGTTCTTGCCGATCGTCTCCACCGCGAGCACGTCGATCTGCTCGAAGGGAAGCTTGGGGATGCATCCCTTGGCCGTCTTCAGCAGGCGGGCATCGGTTTCGTAGAACGCCTCCGGCTCGGCGCCCTCGATCACCGCAGCCTCGCGCGCGGCGTTCTCGACGATGGCGATGCCGTAGGCGACCGGGGCCTCGCGGATGGCGATGCGCGCCCACTCGGGCAGCACCTCCATATAGCCGCGCACGCCGAGGCGATGCACGAAGCGCGCGCCCTCCGCCTTGCCGAGGCCGATGGCGACCATCTTGGTGAGCCCGCTCTCCACCTCGCGGTCGAAGGAGGTGTGCGACTTGACCCGGCCCACCACCAGCACCGCATCGGCCTCGAAGGCGCGGCGGTCGAAATGGACCGCTATGCCCGCGCTGGTCTCGCCCAGCCGCACGACCTCCATGCTGGCCTCGATGGGGCAGCCCATGGCCTCTTCCGTGAAGCCGAGCTCGGCCAGCAGCGTCACCTGGCCGGTGGCGACGGCGCCGCCGTGACTGCCCATCGCCGGCACGATGAAGGGTGCGAGCCCGCGGCCCTTGAGCCGACGAAGGAAGAAGGTGAAAAAAGGAGGGAGGGAGGAGGGAGCGAGGTCTCAGTGTCGGCGCTGCATGTGTGGGCTTGCTAGTTTTTGTGGCTGTCGGCTTTCCGTTGGGGAGAAGGGAAAAGGTAGGGACGGTGTGGGTGACTTGGCCATTAAGGGAGGGGTAAAAGGCGGGTGAGGATGCCGAGAGGGTGTCTTTCGATGGGGCGTGCGGCCCGGGCACCGACCGGGTGGAAAATGGGTGGGAGAGGGACGCTTACGGGTTCTTGCGAGGTTCTCCGGGGGGGGCCCAGTCGGTCCATGGCTTTCTTTGGCGAGCGTGTGATTTGTGACGCCAGGCGAGCTGGGTATAGGTTGACTGTGAGCCGGGGTGAAGGGGCAGTACGCGGGTGGGAGACGCGGGGGGCAGGAAGGGGAAGCGCGGGAGGTGGCTAGGTCTTGTATCTGTGCTTTGGGGTGCGATTGGGCTGGCGTTTTGATCCTTTGGCGGGTTGAGAAAGTGTACGTGATCGCATGGCAGGTTTTCTTGTGGGGCGGTTTTGTAGCTGTCCTGCGTTGGGTGGTTGCGCTCCGTGATCCAGCGTGATATGGGGTGTAGGCTGGGTTGGTTGCAACGGTTGCTTCATGTAGTGGAAGAGGTGTGGATCGTCGGGGGGGCTTCCGCAGTCTTGCGGCTATTTGGACTACCAGGCGAGCTGTCTTGGTCTGGTCCTTTGCCTGGGGTTCTCGCTCTTTGATTGGGTCGGTGGGAGGGCGCGGTTTGGCGGAGGGGCGTTCGTTAAATGTCCGGTTGTTTGCGAAGGGCGTGAGTGTAAGGGGTGTGTACAAGAGGGTGGCGGGGCGGTGGCCTGTCTCAGCACCCTGCGTGCCGGGGGAATGGGCTTCTTGGACGGGTGTTGTCGTTGGCTGGTGTTTGTGCGGTGGCCTGTTGCTCTGAGGGGGAAAGTGGGTGGGAGGTGTGCTACCAGATCTGGGTCGGAACGCGGGTCTGGTCCTTTGGTCCGGAGCTTGTGGCGCGGGTGTTTTTTATGGGGTCGGGCGGGTGGGGGTGTGGCGTCGTGGTTGGCGTCCCTGGAGGGTGTGAGGTGGCTGCGTTGGATAAGGTCCTTCCCGGGAGGAGCGGCGCGCGGGGGGGGGGGCGGCGCGGTGCGTGTCTTCTGCTGGGGCGTTGCGTTGGTGGCTTGTGTACACGCTTGTTGCGCCGAGGGGAAAGAGGGCTGGGCGAAGGGGCACGACGAGCAGGCCAGAAAGGAGCGGGGGGAGCGTTCCGGCCACGATTGCGGGATGGGGTGGGCGCTTCCGCATAGGGGGCGTCTGGTGGTTGCCTGGCTTCGGGGGGTCGCTCGGGTTGTTTGGGCGGGGCTCGTACGTTAATCGCCCTGGCACGCGAAGCACCCGTTGTGCGCGGGTACAGATGGGGCCTCAGAGGGGAGGCGGGCTCGGCGGCCGATCCGGGGATTTTGCCCCCGGCTGCGATGTGATGGCCACACGGGCGCCTGCCGCGAGCGCGGTGAGTTGCCGCGAGGCATCCAGGGCTGCGTGCGTGGCGGCGGCGACATCGGTGAGCCCAGGCACATCGGGGTGGCGCAACGCCACCGGCATCACCGGTGGCAGCGGCTCGTTCTCGAACTGCGGCAGCGCGATGGCGGGGAAGGTCGGGCTCGGCGTGTTCAGGGTCATGGCGGCACGATACACCAGAGCGGCGCTGGCCAGAACGCCGGGTTGCCCGTCAATGGAGCGGCCCCGGCGGGCGCTCGCTCGTGCGGGGCGCGGGCTGGGCTTGGCCGGCGGGCCCGGCTTGATGGTGGACCATGCGCCAGCCGGCCGGCTCGCGCGCGAAGACGTTGGTGGCAATCAGCTGGCCCTGCTCCAGAACCTCGCGGCAGATCACGAAGGCGCTCGGTCCGAGGACGAACGCGCGCGGCGCCTCGCAGCGGATTTGCGGCGCGCCCGCACCGCCGAGGATCGCAGCCCAGCTCTCCATCACCATGTCGCGCCCGACCAGTGCGTCCCAGCCCGGATGAATGCAGGCCACCGCCGCTTCTCTGGCCCAGAGCGCATCCATCGCCGCGAGGTCGCGGGTGGTAAAGGCGCGGTAGAACTCCTGATTGGCGGCGAGCACCGCTTCTTCGTCCGACATCGCTTGGTCCGGCATGGCCGCTCCTTGTTGCGCCGCTCAGCCGCGCAGGGCCTCGTATTGGGCGTTGTAGGCGTCGGGATCGACCGTCACGTCGACCAGTGCCGGCCCGTCGTTGCGAACGCTTGCCCGAGCGCCGGGGTCAGCGGCTCGGTCGCGTCCACGCGCCAGCCCCGGCATCCGAGACCCTGCGCGACGGCGGCATGGTCCATCGCCCCGAAGCGGACGCCCCGGCTCTCCCGCTGCTGCCGCTGCTGCTTGATGTCGATGAGGGAGAGCCTGGAATCGTTGAACACCACGACCACGATGCGGCAGCCGAGACGGCCGCCGTCGCAAGCTCCGCCAGGCACATGTGCAGGCCACCGTCGCCGGTCATGGCGATCACCGGGCGCGCCGGCTCCTCCAGCGCTGCGGCAATCGCCGCCGGCAGCGCAAAGCCCATGGTGGAGAGGCCGTTCGACTTCAGCACGTCGTTGGGCTCGTCCGCCTGCCAGAGGCCCATCGCCGAGAACATGTGCGCGCCGGAATCGACGGTGATCCGTGCCCCTGCCGGGGCGACGCGGCGCACCGCCGTCACCACCTCCTCGGCCGTGCGCCCGCCGGGGCCGGTCATGGCGAGGCCGGCGCGAAGCCGGCTGCGGAGCGCGGCGATCTCCAGCTCCGACCAGCCCGCCGGCCGCGCGTTCTCCATCAGGCGCAACGGCGGAGCGGTCGAGGGCACCCGTCAGCACTGCCGTCGGCACGGCCGGATAGTCGTAGCCGTCGTGAGCCGCGAGGGCGAGAATCGTCCCTCGAAGCGCCAGGGCCGGGGAGCAGCTCCACCGGATCGAGGCCGAAGAAGATCAAGAGGTCGGCCCGGTCGAGGCAACGCGCATCGGCCGAGGCCCCGGTGAAGCAGCCGACGGCGAGGCGATCGGCGTCGGCGATCGCGCCCTTGGCCTTGTAGGTGGTCATCACCGGGCAGCCGAGCGCCTGCGCGAGCACTCTCAGCGCCGCACTCGCCGCCCGCCCGCGCGCTTCCATGCCGGCGACGATCAGGGGCCGTGCCGAGGCGGCGAGCAGGCCGCGCGCCTCGGCCAGCGTGACGAGGTCGTACGACTTGTCGGCCGTCTTCGCCGCCCTCCGCTTGCCGGAGGCAGGCTCGGCGGGGGCCGAAGCCGCCGCCGTCGTGAGGTCGAGCTGCACGCGGGCCCGCCGGGTGCGCCGCCGCGGTATCGAGCAGCGAGTCGATCTCGCCCAGCCCGCCGCCGGGCGCCGGTTTCGCGTAGGCCTTGACCAGCGGTGCGAAGAGGGCGCGCTGGTCGAAACGCTGGTGCAGGGCGTGGTGGCCCGGCGCGGGCTCCGCGAGCGCATCGGTGACGAGGAGCACGGGCGCCCTCTCCAGCGCGGCATAGGCGATGCCGTTGACGGCGCTGGCGGCACCCGGCCCCACGCCCGTCACGGCCACACCGGGCGCGCCGCCGAGCTCGGCGGTGACCGCCGCCATCAGGGTGGCCGCGGTCTCGCCGTGGGTGAGCACGAAGTCGATGTCCTCTGCGGCGAACGCATCGATGACATCGAGGCTGCTGGCCCCGCCCGGCACGCCGAAGGCGCGGCGCACGCCCCGCGCCCGGCACGCCGCCGCGAGAGCCTGGGCAAGCGTCTGTGCCATAGGATTCGCGCGGTGCCGCTAGGGGATCAGCCCGCGCGGCCCTTGATCGTGCCGGCATGGAGGTCGTGCAGCGCCTGGTTGGCATCGGCGAGTGTGTATTCGCGGGTCGCCAGCGTCACCAGCCCCGGTCGGCAAGCGCCATGAGTCGACCAGCTCCGCATAGGTGCCGACCAGATTGCCGACGATGGTCTTCTCCGAGACGATCATGTCGATCGCCGGGATCTGGACGCGGCCGCCGTAGCCCACGATGTAGTAGAAGCCGTCGTTCCGCGTCATGGCGAGGCCCTTGTCGATGGCATCGCCCTCGCCGACGAAGTCGATCACCGCCTCGGCGCCGTGCCCGCCGGTGAGCGAGAGCACCTCGTCCACCGCGCCCTCATCGGCACGCACCACGTGGTGGGCGCCGCATTCCTTGGCGAGACCCAATGCCAGGTCGGAGCGGTCGAGCACAATGATCTCGGCCGCGCAGAGCGCCGCAAGGGACTGTATGCCGATATGGCCGAGGCCGCCGGCGCCGATAATCACGGCGTATTCGCCCGGCACCAGGTGCGCGGCGGCCTTCTTGGCGACGCGGTAGGCGGTGAGGCCTGCGTCGGTGTAGGGGGCCACGTCCTTGGGCGCGAGGCTCTGGGGCAGCTTGATCAGGGCGCGCTCGCCGGTCAGCAGGTAGTCGGCATAGCCGCCGGCTGCGTTGATGCCCGGGAAGCTGCTCTCGCTCGCGTGCATGTCGTTGCCGCGCCGGCAGGCGAGGCAGTGGCCGCTGGTTACCAGCGGGTGGCAGATCACCGCGTCGCCGACCTTGACGCTCTCGACGCCGCTGCCGACCTCCTCCACCCAGCCCGCGTTCTCGTGGCCCATGATGTGGGGGAAGGCGACATCCACATGCCCCCGCCACACGCCCTCGATGATGTGGAGGTCGGTGCGGCAGACGCCTGCGCCGCCGATGCGACGATGACATCCGTGGGCTTCGCGATCGCGGGATCGGGCACCTCCTCGTAGGTCACGAATTCGGGCCTGGTGAGGATTCGTCGTAGCCGTGGAGCGTCGCTGCCTTCATGGGTTTCCTCCAGTGGTCAGTTCAATTCAGTTCAATCGGTCCCCGGTCTCCGGGTCGAACAGGTGGACGGCGCCCGCGCGCGGGCTGAGCGCGAGCGTCTCCCCCTCGCGCAGCCGTGTAGCGCGGCAGGCGGACGGTGATCTCCTGGTCCTCGTCGGTGACGCAGAAGACCAGCGTGTCCGCGCCCATGGGCTCGACCAGTGTGACTCGCGCCCGGAGCCTGCCTTCTTCCGCAGCGCCGTCGGGCAGCAGGTCCTCGGGCCGGATGCCGACGGTGACCGCGCCGCTCACAGTGCCGGCTACCGCTGCTTCCGCCCCGCCGATGCGCACCACGCCGTCTGCTGCCTCACCCCGCATGAAGTTCATCGCCGGCGAGCCGATGAAGCCTGCGACGAATTCGTTGACGGTCGTTCGTAGAGCGTATCGGGGTCACCGATCTGCTCGATCTGCCCGTCGCGGAGAACCACGCACGCTCGGCGAGCGTTATGGCCTCAACCTGGTCGTGGGTGACGTAGACGGATGTGCGCCGCATCTCCCGGTGCAGCCGCTTGATCACCGTGCGGAGCCGCACGCGCAGCTCGGCATCGAGGTTGGAGAGCGGCTCGTCGAAGAGGAAGATGCGCGGGGATCGCGCACCAGCGCCCGGCCGATGGCGACCCGCTGGCGCTGGCCGCCCGACATCTGGCGCGGGCGGCGCTTCAGCAGCTCGGTGATCTCCAGCCGCTCTGACCCTCCGCACCTTGCGATCCACGTCTTGCGATCGACGCCGCGAATGCGCTGGTTGAAGGCGAGATTGTCGAACACGTTCATGTGCGGATAGAGGGCGTGGCTCTGGAAGACCATCGCCACGTCGCGGTCCTTTGTGCGCGATCCTTCCAATGTTCCCGTCCGTCTATGCGACCGAGGGCCCTCGCTCTGGCGCTCCAGCCCGGCGATGATGCGCAAAAGAGTCGACTTGCCGCTGCCGGAACGGCCCCACCAGCACCACGAACTCGTTGTCGTGACGGGTGAGGGGCCGCTCTCCGCGGCCCTCGACCCAGCCGACGCTGAAGATGCCGCGACGGTGACTTCGCCACACACCTCTCCCGGATCACGCCCGGCCGGATCTTGGCCGCGCGCGCGAGTTAGCGCTCAGCCGAAGGCGATGATACCATAGGCTGCACCGAGACTCAGCGCCAAGCGCTCAGGCTTCCACCAGGGCACTTGTTGGAATTGAGGATCAGATGGTGGGGGGCAGCATGGGTTTGCACCTTGGCGAAGGTAAGCGTCAGCGCGAAGAAGAAGTCGCTCCACGAGAAGATGATGCAGAGCAGCGTCGCCACCACCATGCCGGGCGCGCAGTTGGGCAGGATGATGCGATAGAAGGCCTGGATCGGTTGGACGCCGTCGATCGATGGGGCCGCCTCGTCCAGCTCGATGGGCACGGTGTTGAAGAAATCCACCATCCCCGACGACGATGGGGGCAGCATGCGCCGTAGACCAGGATCATCCCAGATTTGTGTCGAGCAGCGGTTGAAGCGCAGCAGCAGGAAGTAGTGGTATCGCGAGCACCGCGGCGGCATTATTCGCTGGGAGA